ATACCGTCGCGCTTACACTGGGTATTTACAAACGAAGAAGTCCTAGTTGACATCTCAATCCTGGCTCCCCTGGGGAAAAGCGATCACGCCGTCATAGCCATCACTTTTATCGGCAAAATTGAGCTAGGATATCCCACCAACGACGGGCGCTGGAATTTCGAACGGTTAAATATGTCAGCTGTACAGAGCTATCTAAAACGGGTGCATTGGGACGTTCACCCTCAACTTGATGTGGATACTCATCGGGATTTCTTACTGCACATGCTCTTATGTGCTACAAAGCAGGTTTCAAGTCGAAGCGCATTTTTAGCTAGTTTGACCTCAGAACTTTCCACATAATCTTCAACAGTTTTATTCGTCCCCATTCGGGGTACAGAAACGTAGTATTTCCTCTCTCACTCCGATAGGATAAGGATACTGAAGTATATCCAACGGCGAGCCACAATATCAGTTCGGGGACTCAAATTCAAATCTTGGGAAGAGAGCCTCCAATCACTTAACTTTCACCTATTAGAGCATAGGCATCTTAGAGGTGACCTTCTAATGGCTTACAATATCTTTAACACTTTAGGACACCCCCTCAAACACCTACTCAAGTTTAGCTCCAACCCAAACCTAAGGAGTAACATCTGGAAACTAGAGACATAACAGTTTCGGTTTCGGTTTGGGAATGACAGGAGGCCTGATGGCCTGTGTTAGTCCTGGCAATGGTGGTCCCTCAGTTGATCCAACTTTCTTTTGAAAGAGTCGACGGATGGAGCCTCAACCACGTGCTGAGGTAATGAGTTCCACTCGTTGATGATTCGATGGGAAAGTCGATAGTCAGCTGACAAGCAATTCGTTCTTGGCTTGTGAACTTTGTTGGAGTGTCCTCGTAAATTCTCTGTTTTGGAAGACAAGAAAAGTGAGGGCATATCAGGTACAAATTCGGTACTAAGCAATTTGAAAACTGTAATCACGTCGCCTCTAGTTCTGTGATATGACAACAGGAAAAGGTTCAGCTTGGCCAGTCGAGCTTCATACGGAAGCTTCGCTATTCTGGTAATCAGCTTAGTTGCCGTTCTCTGAACCTTTTCCAGAAGCTCTTGTCTTTTTTTAAACAGGGGCTGGCCGCTCGTATGCAGAACTCAAGTTTAGGACGTACGAACACTATACCAAGTCAAAAGCGTTTTAGCCTCGACATGACTAAAAGCTCTACGTATTGACCATAACGTTCTAAAACCTTTGGCGCCTATTGCACGGCAGTGTGCAGTAGTCTTTAAGTCTTGACTAACGATGACTCCTAAGTCATTATATGTCTGGACGACAGGTAGCTCAGTGTTATTCATCGTGTATGTATCTGTACCTTGATGACCAATATGCATCACAACACGCTTGGAAGTATTTACCGGCAACTGCCAGGTTTCAGACCATTCAGATAATTTCTTCAGGTCATTTTGGAGTTCTAAGCTATCACCCTCACATCGTATCGTTCTCCATATCTTGACATCTTCAGCATATAGCAGGACCGATGATAATAGGAGACGAGGAAGGTCATTTACATACAAGAGGAATAGCACTGGCCCCAAAACTGTACCCTGGGGCACTCCACTAAGCACAGTTCCCCAGCTAGATAACTTTGAGTTCACCCTTACTCTTTGTTGACGCCCAACTAAGAAGTCTTTTATCCACATCAATAAATTACCTCCAATCCCGACATTTCTTAACTTATATAACAGCCCGTTGTGCGGAACCTTGGCAAAAGCTTTGCTGAAATGAATGAAGGCTACGTCTACAGGTAACTTTTGGTCCTTAAGAGCACACCAGCTTTCACGAGCCACTAATAAATTAATGAGACAAGAGTAACCTGTTCTGAAACCGCGCTGCTTCTCCGAGAGGATCCGGTTTTTATCGAGATACTTAAACAGCTCCTTCAGAACAATCTTTTCTAAGATTTTAACAACCACACTAGTTAGGCTAACGAGGCGGTAATTCTCTGGTTTGTGTTTCGTACCTGTTTTGAAGGCAGGACTTACTATCGCGTTTTTCCAGTCTTTTGGTAAACGACCATGCGTAACGGATAGGTTAAAGCATATACTTAGACTGTTCGCAACGAAGTTAGATAATTCCTTCAGTTGCCTAGGATGTTATTCGTCGGGCCCCGTGAATTTACCTATGTCAAGCTTATTTAGTAGACAAAAGACATCGACTTACGGAGGGTCAAGGCACAGGTATTCCGGAATTTTCTATACTGGGATTAACTTTCACCAGTCCCCAGTAACCTAAATCTATCCCACATTTTCCTTTTCTTACGGAGAAGGATACGGACCTCCCTACTGAACCATGGTGGTGAGTTTTTCGGCCCCTTTGGTATAGTCCAAGGGATATGAGGTGTGGTAACTTTTAAGTATGAATTTCGAAATGTGTCCCAGGCCGTTTCAATGGAGGACTCTGGGTCTATTGTCCAATCTATTAACGATGCTGAGTGCATGATGTCTGGTATGTTTGCTTTCCAGACGTTAGTTCTGGATTGGGCTGACGCGTGCTCGTGACTGACAGTTATATGGAAGTCGAAAATTAAAACTGCGTGATCACTTTTACCTAAGGGTGGCATATAATGAAGGTTCGCAACGTCATCCTCATAGTGAGTCAATATAAGATCTAGTAAAGACGATTCAGTGTCCGGGTCGTACCTAGTCGCTTCTTTCACATGTTTCACTAGGGCACATGTGATGACCGCATCAACTGGTTCCTGCTCGAAGGAATTTTCTGACGATTCAGTTCGCAGATTTTCCCAGTCTACCATAGGTGCATTAAAGTCCCCTAGGATTAGACATCGACCACTTTGTGACCAAGTATTGAGACTGTTTAACAGGACTTCATTTACCTCACAGCTTGGACTGCGATAGACCAAACCAATCGTCAGCTCTTGTCCCTTGCATTTCAAGCGGAGACCAACTAATTCATACGTCCCACTCATGGGATACACTGTCGATAATGGCAAATGTGATAGCATTCCTAATGAATAGAGCTACTCCCTCTCCTTTACGCTTTTGTATTCTGTCGGCCCTTACTAACGTAAAACCCTCGAAATCAAGTTCCATACTATCTATAGCCTGTGTCAGCCAGGTTTCTGTAACTGCGATTATGTCTGGCTTTGTAGAGTCAATCTGTACACCTAGTTCCGATCGCTTATTAAGTAAGCTCCGGGCATTAGTGTAGCAGATCCGAAGCCTATTTAAGTGGCTTCGTGCTTCACCCATAGTGGCTTCGGTATCATTCCCTGTCGAAGCCTTACAACCCGAAAATTTACAATTTTTCTGTCCTTTTTGCCAGCGTCTAACATAAGTTCTAGTTCTTTTTCGGCTTCCCGTCTTTTACACAGTCTGCCAACGGCAATTCCTTACGGATAAAAACTCCTGAATCCTTCAATTTATGTCCATTCTGTAAAATTAGGTCACGTTCGTTCGAAGAGTTGAATACTACTTTAGGCAGTCTTGAATGATTTGGTTTCAAGTCCGCTAGACTCCCTAGTCTGTACACCTTTAGCAAGGTGACCCCGGTGATATTTCGAGGCATGAGTTGATTAAGTAGCTGCTTAGTCAGCACAATGTCATGCTCAAAACGAGCTTTAGGTTCAGAGCTCTCGCTCTCCTTGATTCTATGAAAAATAGCTGATCTGTCGCCATGATCAGCTTTCGATTTTACGACTACTTTCGCGGAAGTAGGATTACCTTTTATATCGCTACTATTTTTCTTCATTACAACCTGTACCCACTCGTCAACGATGCTGGGAGAAACAACAACTGTTGCATCAAACCTAGTGTTGGATTCTGAAGGGTTGTCGACGACCTGAGAGGTCAGATTACGTTTACCGCTTGAAATCAATCGAGCCTAGCGATTGCGGCTTCTAGGCGTTTCCTGTGGGATCCGATCTGGAAGACGGGGAACAGAAGAACCTACGTTCCTTGAGATTTTGCTTAAGGCAGGCCCCTTTGGAGACTGCTTTTCCTTCTTTGACCGGCGTGAGTCATCTAGTACCGAACTAACCTTAGTTTGCTTCATGTCGATTTGTGTGTAGACCGATCGAGTGCTGTTTGACGTGTTCCGACTTCGCTTGCTAAAACACTTCTTTGCAGCATCAACCAGTGAGATGGCCTCGGTTAACAGGCTGTTTGCATCCGAACAGCACTGTTGACAAAGCCATACGCAACCCTTCTTACTGAACCGTTTGAAAGCCGCAGGCGTTAAGTTCGTGCAAACTTCGTGGTACCAGCTTTTGCACTCTTCGCACTACATGCCGCTTTCAACGGGATAACGACAACCCGGACGTTGGCAACTGCTTTTTTTACACTGTCCGGCCATTTAAAAGGAGTCTTTTTCAAAAAGGAACGAGATGCGATGATACTCAGAAACAAAAAATAATCAATAACCAAAAAGTGAAGAACTGTAGATTGTTAGGACCAAAAGTACTAACAGATACAATTGAAAATGAAGTACTCAAGAGTACCAACGACAAAACTAATCGAGAGAATGGTAAAAACGATACTCTAGTCAAATGCTTTAACTGAAATGAATTCAATTAAAGAGAAAACAGTAATAAAACGTAATAAACGATCAAAACAATGAAATTTACCGTCCTTTTTAAATAGCGCGCGTCACAACAGAACGGACTGTAGACACAACCTCTACTCATTAGGAGCTGTCAAATGCTGTAATTCACTGCCGGCTGATCTAGTCCAAGCGACTCCCCAGGATTCGTTTAAGAGGAGACTTGACCTATTCTTAAGGACTAAAGATAATATCTTACTATGACTTACCACTTTCTTTTTCCCTCTATTATCGTCAATAAACCTAGGTTCTAGGTACTAGAAACGGAAGCCCGTTAAGCGAAAGCTTCTTTTATTCCGTACACAACCATTTGAACCATTTGTAGTTGACGTTGAATCTGTGGATTGCCAGCGTGCTTTGATTTTCTGACCTTTGAAGATGAAGGTCGTTCTCCATAACATTTTCTCCTAATGGAAAGTGCAGAAGATTCCAGATTGCCATTAGAGATCAAAACCAAACTAGCAGAGCTCGAAGTTGAACTTTCTGAAGGTAAGTTCATCACAAAGTCTTTCGTTGTATCGTTATCGGTTGAATATTTGCTGCAATGCCTCAACTGTACGAGGAAAAATGAAGTCATTATAGACGAAGTTATATGACAAATTTGCGAAAACTCAAGATGCTCCTAGTTTTGCAGGCGACAGACTACTGAGTTCTTGTAAATAGGTTTCGAGACAGATCTATATTGATCTAAGTGTCGATTCTGAAATGGAGCTGCCAGTTTGTATTTCGGAGAATATACCTTAAATCCTTTGTTTTCAAAACTAACTTTCTGTATCTCACCACTCACGGTTTACTTCCAGTGGGCCACTTTGAGTAGTGTACCATTAGGCCGATATTTTAGCTGTAATCGATAGCGCTATTGTATTGAGCTTATCTTTCTGTTCATCGAATTGGGTTTAATATGTATGTCAAACGTTGTATCCTATCTACACTGCTAATCGTTTGTGTGACTTGTTATCGCGACTCATGATTATTTTAAGTTCACTCGATGGTAATATTTTCTCATCACGAACTGACAGCTACAGTGCTAAAATGTTATTCAGCCATATGAATGAATAAATTTTGCACCAAAATCCAAAATCTCCGTTGTATCAGCGAATGTTTGTATGTTAACCAAACATACTGTACATGAAGTAAACAGATATTAAAATCAAAGTCTCTAGAATACTGAAAAGGTCTCTTCAGTAATTGACTTATTCTTCAATTATAATGTTAGTAACCTGAAACGTAAAGATTATTCAGTTCAGCAAGTGTATTTTGGTTATGTACATAACAGTGAAAAATTCTAGAGTTAATACTTGGTAGCATTAGGTTCCTCACATTTGTTCTGCGTGCTGAAGAAACTTTTCTCGGTGGAAACAAATTCATTAACTGTTTGATCATTGCTGTCTTTGATGGATTACTCACGCCTGATAGCAACACTTTATAAGTAATATTAAAGACCGTCAGTGTACCTTTGGTCGTTGTGTCGACAACTCTTTCAGCATTTTGTTATTTAAACCGCCTCTGATGACGCGAATAGTCTAAAAATGTTATTCCAGTAGTTTCTGTAGTTTATTCGTTGACCGGGTGTAAAACGTAGGTAGCTGTTCGATCTGTTACGTGGCATTGAGGCGTAAAATTAGCTGTACAGAACTTGGGTCTGTTTTCCCATCCTTAGTAAGGGACCTAGAGACTAATCAACTAAGCGGTTATCATACATGGCCTCGAATAAAACCCATTAACGAATTTGTTGAGATTTCCCGATTACAATAAACCTTCTTAGCTGGAATAATCTCGATTGTGCTTCTCTCCCATTGAAATATATCATTTACCATAGACTATTCGTGTTCATTTGCTTACGGATTTTATGGCTCCTTCCTCTTCTATTATGGTATGATGGTTTAGTGTTGCACATTTTTTTCAGCGCCCTGTTTCATCAGGATTTACTTGTGTTGTAATTAATTAACGCCTAATTATTCTTTCTATTTTTGATGTTCATGGCGACTCATTTAAACTCAGTAGATTACATCCCGAGTGTTAGATTTTATGCTAGTTTCACTTGACGAAGGTGATGTAATGTTTTACTAAGCTATAAACTTGTCAGACTTTGTAAGCTTAACGCTATTCAATTCATTGTAATAAATTTCAGGTGATATAACGGAAAAAGGATACCAGAAAAAGAAACAGAAGCTTCTAGCTCCGTTTATCAACGCTCCGAGTGAGTTATATATTTTGAATTACATTCTTTCTTAGTTATTATTCAATTAGATCACAACATATATGTCTCATGGTTGTTTTTCTACCTGTAATAAGGTGATCATCGCGTATGAATAATATCATTAATGCGGCAACAATAGTTGTGATGTGGACTGTCATGAAGTAGTCTTAAAGAAAAAGTTATTTCTAATATTTCATAGCAGTACTAACGTACATTATCTGTAAAAACTCGAACTCATCTAATGTACTCACATTTGAACTAGCTATGTTATTTTAACAGTACAAATCTGTTTCTGTAGACTTAAACTGTAACAGCTACTGCATCATGAATATGTGTAAGAACATAGTATAACTTAATTGTTGGTTAATTTCAGGAATGATTCTTAGCGTTCCAGAAGGAAGCTTTAATCAGTGAAGTCCATTTGAACTGTTGATTTTAAATTTAATCCGGAGGATTGAAGACTATTGATAAGTCAAGAATCGTTCATAAGATTATTATTTCCGGTTTTACACTGATATACTAAATCAAACTTCAAGTCGATGCCATATTTCCCACAATAATCTCTTTATCATCTATCGGAAGAGTGACGAAACGGTATCATAATGTGCTATGTAAACTTTTTCTGTTAAATGCTAAGTGATGATGATGTACGATATTCAAACTTGCATTTCAATTTGCCTACATAGCGTTAAGTTTTGAGTAATAACTGTTGAATAAAGTCTTACACAATGGATTTATTTGTACGCTATCACGCTATGGTGTCATTTACGAAAAGAAATTATGTTTTCTGTTCATTTCGATGCGTCAAGCGATCGCAAAACTGATCATTAGTTGTAATATTTTAAAAGATTTATTTATCTTTTTTATGTTTACTCAGTCAACTCAACTAATTCATCTAATAACTCACATATTCCTTATGGTGGAGTTTTACTTCCTGGACTTAATGAAACTCATCATTTAGGCCCACGTGGCCAGGCTGTTGGTTGTGGTGATAATGTTACAGAGTCTTTCAGAAATGAGCCCCAAAATAATTCTCCTATTAATGCTCAAAATCGCAGATACATTCGTGAAAATCATCGATATCGATCGGGTAAGCTTTCCATTCTAAGTACACTGGCTCTTTATTTGCTGTACAGGAAATCCATCTTGTAAACAATGCCATGGTATCTTAGGAGCTTAGACATTAGTGTTTTGAAATTACTTCCTGGTATCCAAAACACAAAATATTGTTTCAGCTACTTCAAAATACCATGTTACTTAATTCTATGAATTTTAGAGACCTTTGTCTGACATGTAAAATATATTGTAGAAAAGACCCAAAGTTGTCTTGAAGACCAAACTTTATTGAGCATGTCTCTGACATATATGATATCGTACGTTTTACAGTAATGCAAAAATGGAAATCATCAGAAATAGAAAGATTTTTAAGCGGGCTTACTGACATTATTTGAGTAAAACAAAGTACGACGATCTACGTACGATCTATTGATTGAATGCTGAGTCCGTTAACTGGTAAATAATCACTACAAACTAAGCTCAATAGAAGCGTCACCAAACTGACACATTGGAAATCATAAATGAAATGGCAATCAACACTTAACTTTAACAATGCAATCTGATTGTTTCATTTAAATGGGCAGTTAGTTAAGTGTATTACGAATACTAGATTGACTTATGTAATAGTAGTACCTTCAGTGTATTTCCACATATGTATTCGAAATATTTAAACTTTACATCGCCAATTGCTTTTATTATGAATGCGATTTTAATTTTTAATCTTAGATATCCGAGAGGAGGCAGTGAAGGAGGCTCTAGTACAAGCTCGGCAGGAACGTCATGATGCCTTGGCACCTAGTAAACGTCGTGATCCCAGTCGTTTGTCCTGTATACATCAAACTCCTGAACGTGATGCAACATGTATGTCATCGCCTAAATTATTGGTTTGTACTCTAACTACATAGATAATAAGATGTAAAGAATAAAAAAACTCGTTGGATTCCTAGCAAACATGTCCTTTTAAATCTTTGATCACTAGGTTTATTTTCTTATAATGAGCCTCACATAGCTGTAGTATATTTTCGGTATGTTCTCGGAACTGATAACAATCTTTAGTCGTACGATTTTGTCGATCAACAGAGTTGTGGTCTGAAAATTTCGAGATTAGCACATTTAGACTTTAGTTCAATCATGAATGGAGTCACTCGTACGTACTGCTAAAAGTTCGAAAATTTGTTAATTTCTATATGTAGTTTACTTAATTTACGTCTGCGGTAGATCACTCAATAAAATTAACTTTCCAATGCCAACGAATTTATGGCTGCTAGTTTCGTGGTATTTGTAGAATGCATTTAGTAGTTGAAATATTTTGGCTTTCAACCACTGAGTCGCAATTTTGAAACATGTTCCACTTACTCCGGTTTCAGTAGCTGAGTAGCATCACTAACCCTCAAACCTTAAGTGTAACTCAAGCCGGACACGCGAACTTGTTCTCAGATGACGTATACCTAAAGATTATGAAATCGAATAAACCCCAGCTTATTACTTATAATGGTTTGGATATAAAACGATTATGGCAGCGTGAGTAGAATGGTGATAAACAAAATGAAAATTTATGTCTCAGACAAATCCATTTCATTGGAAATAATACTCCTTTTGCAATTCGCTTTTAATATGTTTTAATTGTGATTGTTTTTATGTAACCAGACTTATCGTTACTGCTTAATACTAACGCTGAAGGATAATTTCTCTAAAATGTTTTAGATCTGTTTCTTTTTAAGTAGTTTTCAATGTCATTTCCTTTTATGTAACATTAACACAACGGTAAAGTTTATTTAGATGTGAGTCATACGGTGTTGTGCATATTTATGTGATTGTACGTGTTTGTGTACATAGATAACAAACAATTGAACGTATTATATTTCATTTATACACTTCAACTTACATATATTTTGCCGAATTCAAGTCACTTTCCCTGTCTTGCTTTATATGCGTGTCTATGTTTTGTGCATATTCACTTATCAGTTGTCTATAGTTTATGATATTGTTATGGATTTTTTGATTAAAAAAGTTATATAAAGTACAAGCAATGTATTTTATTCCCAGACATCATTATTTCACTTTCAACTCGTACATGTGAATAAAAAACCAACTCCTATTGACGAAAGTGTTGGAAGCATGTAAAGATGTTAATGAATTGTAATATGAAAAGCCTTTCTACTGAGTAAATCGTCAAACAAATGGCAACAGAGTAGAAAGAAAATTGTATGTTTTTTAACTAAAAATATTAAACATGACTGATATCCCTTAGCTAGTAATTATTAGGTGACCACTTAATTCTATTTCAGAAACATTAATTGATTTACATGCTTGATTTTTTCTTAGATTTAAATATAGGCATGATAACGATTAATTCACTGTTGCTTTAATATGATGAAGTTCAGTAAATGGCATTAATCTACTTTCTGTATCATGTTGACTGTAATCTGGTGCAGCCTGACTTAAATCTGATAAACATATCTTATATTTTAATCAAGCCCAAATGATCTGTTCTGGAGTAATGTTATTTCAACTACACGACCTATCTGCTAAACATACTTCATTTTTTTCAACTGTATATTATTTATTACTTTGTATCATTTGACAACCTCCTTTCGTTATCTTCCCAACCTATTTCGATATTCAAGGGAATATCGAGTTGGCCACAGGATTTAGACGAATGCTAGACGGTTAACTATTTACCGTCTAAGTGATCTCATAGTGGTGTTCGGATGATAGTTTAATTTACTAAATTACTTAGTTTCACTGTTGTAATTTCATTTTCATACTATACATATGATGATGGGCTGGTGGTGTTATTATATCATTATTAATATCTGCTTAAAGGACTGTTTCTCCCATTTTTATTAGATTCTGATGATTCGGATGAAGATTTGTCGTCAACATCTGCACACATTACGCGTTTAGGGAACAATTTTAGTCAGTCATCGGGATTATGTGAAGTAAGTTTGATGATGTTTATGAGTCTTTCCAAAAAACTCACCGGATTCCTGCCTAGTGGTTATTTAATAGTTAACATATTTACCTGACAGATAATTCATATATATATATACGATTATACAGCTTAGTAGTAAATTCGTTGAAAAGATATCCTTCCGCTGAACTTCGTGTCTTTAATATTTACTTAGATTTATGGTAGTCTTATGGTCAATTCTCCATGAAAATAAGATGTTTTCACCACTGTCAACAAGTTAAAAACGAAATAATCTTTTTTACAAAATAAATGAATCATGGCTAGCAGTTGGATCCAGGACCCGTGTTTCACTCTTTTTAGTAGTTATCATCCATCACACTGTTGGTGTTTACACTGGACTACTGCTTGAATTCTATCGAATAAGTTGCAATGTGATGACTAGTTTAACTGACTCGGCACTACATGTTGAGTTGTTAGGTGGTCATTAATCAGTGTTCACTCAGCTGCAAAAGTCTCATTCCTACAAAAGGCCAGTTGTAGTGTCCGACGAAATCTCAGCACGGATTCGAAAAGCTCGTTTGACTTTTACCAACTTACGTCACCTATGGCGAAAGTGAGATATCCGTCCATCAATAAAAGGACGAGTATACTGCGCGGCAGTCCGTTCTGTTTTAATTTACGGCAGCGAAACATGGCCATTAAGAGTAGAAGACACTCGTAAGCTATTAGTATTTGACCACAGATGCCTTAGAAACATTGCTGGCGTCTGCTGGGGTCACCGGGTAAGTAATAATGAGGCTAGACTCAGGGTATTAGGGAATGATGGTAAATCAGTTGATGAGGTTATTAATCTTCATCGACTGAGATGGTTGGGCCACGTGTTACGTATGCCTGAACACCGATTACCACGATGTGCAATGCTGACTGGTGCTGGAGATGGTTGGAAGAAAGTTAGAGGCTGCCAAACCAAAACGTGGCATCAGTGCTTGAAGTTACTAACTTGTAGTCTGAGCCATGTTGGTAGATGCAGACTACTTGGTTGGGGTCCGCGTGACTTTCGTAACCAATGGTTGGAGACTCTTGGTGACATGGCTCAGAATCGATCACAATGGCGTCGGTGTATACACTCCCTGTCTTCCCTTAAACTAAGAGACTAAAATCGCTTCATATTTATTATTTTATTTATTTATTTCAACACATAGATAATGGTACAAAGAGGCACCAAATACATATGCGCCACACAAATCTCATTCGATATGTGTGAGGGCTGTGATACTGCCCGGGTGCCCAAACCGAAGCAGGTGGTTTTCTTAGGGGGCCACTCCCCGAGCCTTCGACCTGAAGGTCTGATCCACAAGGCAGTGGAGCATCGTAAGGAGATGCAGTCCCATGGAAGCCGGTGACCAACAACTGGTTCATACGCCATTTGTTCCCGCAGGATACTGGAGCCCATGTGCACCATTGGTTTGTGATCCGGTTAAAGCGCCGGACATTCGCTTTTCGTCCTCTCATTTTCGTAAACAACACCCCCGCCACGAGAAGGCAGTGAGTAGGACTTCCCTGGCAGAGGCTATATACGCGTGGCCGTGTGAGAGCATTTCGAGAGGGAGAGCGGACTCTCCCCACTCTCGGCTGTACCAGGGCATTTTTTTTATAAAATCGCTTCATATCTTTCTTTCTACTAACTAATTCTTCCTTCATGTACTATATCCTTATTGCAATCTTTCTTTTATATATTACCACCTCTGAATTAACTACTTTTATGAATCCGGTGTCCATCTTGTTGTGTTAATGAAGTATGGCAACTTGGACCGATGCATATATGTGCCTGGACCTACGTTGTAGCTGACTGACTGACTGACTGTAGCCCAAATAGTTCACTGATAACGTCCCTAACTGTGGAGCTGTGTGACCTGGATTTAAATCCCACTAGGAGCGCCAATCCCTTCAGGATTGTAAAAAGATCCAAATGGTTGTTTAAGGTATATATGTGGCTGTCCGATTTGTCTTTTTTTGTATAGAACGTTTCGTTTTGATTGTTTCGTATTCGTTTGTTTCAGTGGTCGTCTTTTTTAGGTTTGTTTACATTATATACGATTTTAGTAATTTGTCATATAGGCATAATACACGAGTGTGTGTGTGTGTACATATCACCGTCTGTTGGTGTATGTTATACTTTTCTATATATTTATTTTTGTCATGTACGACCTTATCTGACCCAATTTTTTAAACCATGGACCAGAGAATGTATAAAACGCTATTTAGCATTTCTTTGTATAAAGTTTTACCACGGTTCCAAGGACGTTTCATGTTTCCATCATGTTTAATTAATACAGTTTACATCAGTTGTATGCGTACTATCATGTGCTTGGGCCTATGTCTATTATCTACATTTTGTATTAAAGTTGTGCATAGAATAGTACACATTAGTTCAGTTTGTTAATGACTTACCTTGAGCACTAAATGTTTCACTGATTGAAATTAAACATGTAGATCACTGGGTGTCGGTTCAGTAGTGTAAAGATTGCACGCTTGCTGCGTGACCTGAAGGTCCTGGGTCCGATCGTTGGTGGAGTCGTGAAAGGACACTCGATGTTTGTCCAAGATCCGTTCAATGATATGATCTATTAAATTCATAAATTACAACTTTTGCTGGAAAAGGAGCTGTGTTATCCCAGTTGCAAAAATACTAACACCATTAGCTCTGAAGAAATCTTGTCCATAGAAGATGAATACACTATTTTTAGATTATTAAACGGTGGGAATTTATTTTAGCAGAATCAGTGATTTGCTTTCCGAGAGGAATTGGATTAAGCTCTTGACGGACGGTGATTAAAATTAATTAATATTACCCGAGATTTTTCAGTATTTATATTCAACGATACGTTGGTCTCCTCAAATGATTAGAACACTCAGTTTGCAACTATTGATTTGAAATCAAACATGTTATGCCTTGTAAAATTTCACTACACCAATGGTGTGCATGGGCTCCGGAATCCTGAGGAAACGAATGGCGTATGAACCAATTGTTGGTCACTGGCTACCATGAGACACCATATTCTGACGTTGCTTTACTGCCTTGTGGATTACACCATTAGGGCAATGGCTTGGGGCGTGGTACTCCTAATAAAACCACCTGCATCGGTCTGGGCACCCGGGCAGTACCCCAGCCCTCAAATAAGGCGAATGATTCATGTGGCGTATATCAGTTTGGTTCCACCTTGTACCAATGTTTATGTGTTTAAATAAATAATCAATAAATAACTATTAGACCATAAATTCAAGCTTCACTCCACTCCAGATTTGGTCATCCAAGTAATGTCACTTGTTGTGGAACAAAAGTTTGGCCTCAAACCGCGTGCGCAAATGTTTACTTGGCCACATTAAAATTGGAAGTTGGTCACCGCTAGATATGATGTTGCTCAACTTAATTCGGAATTGAATTACAACACTAAACCTTGGAAAGATTTCAAGTCTTAATTTTTCATGGCTTTTCAGCCCGTGTTAGTCCATGATAACTACTATCCTGAAAGTCGAAGCAACTGATTATTTCAGAAATAGTTATATCTTTCCTAGTCATTCTAATCAACAGTAGCTGTAGCAAATGTCTATAAAATAAATTCACTTCATCTTCAATTATCGTGGTTTTTTTAACGACGAGTTTTTGTCTTGATTTTAAACATGTATTATATTAACAGATTCCAAGTTCAAGTGTACCGACCAATGGTGTTTCCGACAGAAATCAACTCAGAACATCAACTACTGCTATTACTGGTCAGATACGCAAACAACAATCTCCTGCTAATCGATATGATGAAGTGCCTTCTTTGGATGAAATTCGATCCTGTAATTATTTTTTGTTCTTGATAATCCCTCTTTTTATGAGTCTTGTTCTGTAATAATTTAAGGGTGTGAAACATGGCCATCAATAATAGAGGATACTCCTAGGTTACTAGTATCCGATCATAGGTGTCTCCGAAGGATTATCTGTGTGTTTTGGGACCACTGAGTAAACAATGCCTGGGTTAGGAACAGGGTACCTGGTTGGGGTTCGTATGGTTATTATAATCAAAGATTGGAGACTTTGAATGACACGGGCCAAAATCGTTTGCAATGACGCAAATGCATCTGTTCTCTGTGTTCCCCCAAATTCTGTGATTCTGGATTCCCCAAATCTTTTGTTTTGATTTTACTAGTTTATATTTCGTTTTCTTGAATCGTATCTTTTATACCTAACCCTTCCTATTACCACTAATACTTTTACTATCTCTACTATTCTGGGATTTGACCTGACAACATCTCTCTGTGCTACTGCGGTATGACAACTTGAATGGATGTGCATATGTACTAGGTTCTACTTTACCACTTATTGACTTTTTATGATTCGTAGTTAACATTTGATTACTTTGTGCTCATTGCGGTGATAATAATCTGATCGGTCGAGTTAATCTGTTGTTTGTGTGTTAGTGGTTGAAACAACTCGCGTTTCAACCAAGAGGTTTTAGATTTAGATTCATTTTCTCCTACTCCAATTTGGGCGGAGGGTAGTACCATACTTTTCAAACAGTGTGGCTTAAGGTCGAGTACATAAACTTGTATTCAGTGGATTAAAACTTTATTACTTAAAATTTCAACCCTTTACGGTTACCAAGCAGTTGCATAGTGCTGTTTGCCAACGTACAATAGTTTTTTCTGCTTTTTTACATATATATTATTAATTAACATTTATTTTCAGTATATAGGGATTTCTGAAGATTGTGGGATTTTCATAATCTAAATCGCGTAATCATGTTAGCTAAATCACCATGGGAAACCGGAAAGCACCCGACAGGGTGAATGTATGTAGGTGTATATTTTAAGACAGTCTTCATAAAACTTCCTTAGCTTTTAGATTACACTTTCAAAATGTTCATCAACCAAGTTGATGGAGATAAGCATTGGAAAATGTATAGTCTCCATGATTGACAGCTTTTTGACTTATCGTCAACTGAATTTACCACATTAATTTTTTTCTTCATGATCAGTCTCGTGTTTGTTCGTCGATTTATTCTAATATCATTATTCTTGCTGCTGGTGTTATCATTATTTGTGACAGTCTTCGATATACTTTTGTAATATTATTTCATGATTCATGTATTAATCAGTTGTAAACTTTTCAAAATGTTTTATTCAGGTCAACCACCGATTCGATCTTCAAATAGAATAAATCAATCAGATGTAAATAGTCCATGGACTTATACAAACCAGCCTTCTAATCAACAAAATGGTAATTTAGATGGAGCATTGAATACCGCTGATTCGTTTGAACAGTTAGCTGCTCTTGCTGAAGCTCAGTTAAATTCTAATAATTTAGGGATGTACGATTATTCTGATCAATCAGTTAATACTGTTTTTCACCAATCTCAAGTGATTTCTACTGGTAAATTTCATTCTTTTAGTGTATTCATAGCTTACACGTATTGTATCGTTATCTCACCATCTATGTGGATGTGTTTTCATAGAATAAAGTTTTCGCATTTATTCATTACCGGGAGAAATAAATATAAGGATGATACTGATTCAAAAGTATACTGGTTACCTGCGTGAACTTTTGCGGTTATTTAAAGCTATGTAGTCAGTCGGTTATAATCAGAATAAGTACTTGTACGGGTGTGCATCAGTTCAAGTTGTCACACCTCAAATCCATCGGAGTAACAGATGTAATTTTTAAATTGAGTTTCATAAGAATGGGAATAAATATAAACTCTTATGGAAATCTTGACACGAAATAATACAATTATAGAGGAACAAATGAAAAGCTACGAATAACATCTTTTTGCTAAACTACACGTGTCTAATCATATGTTGGTACTCCTACGCAGCACCAAACTAGGTCTGTATACATCATTATATCTCAGACTAGTGGTTTAAGATTCCATGTATTAATGCAACCGCGCTCCAAACTACGTGTCGGAGCTTTTAATGTTAGAACCTTGTATCAGATAGCAGGTTTCGTTAGCTAGAACTGTAGACTCGCTCTATCGATGTGTACTGCGCACGCATACGTGGTCCAATTGTAGGCATTCATTTGATCTCACTTTGTCAATTTAAAGAATCGGCACAATTTACCTTTTGAGTGTCTAGAGACCCCACTGCTACTTCCCATGGCCCCTCCGGTTTAGGTATAGCATTAAGTTTGAAAGCAGGAAAGGGTTGGTTAGACTGGATTCCAATAGACAGTCGCTTGTGCGCTGTCTGACTAAGTGGGAAAGTAAGATAGGGACACACGCCGTTGTCTCTGTCTACGCTTCCACCGATTACAGCTTGGTTGAAGCTAAAGATGAATTTTATAGGATGCTAACCAATGGTTAGTGACTTTGAATGACATGGCTGAAATCTCTTGCAATAGCACAGGTGCATCCATTCTCTGTCTCCCCCTTTATTCTGAAATCCTCAAAACCTTTTTTGTTTTGATTTCACTAGTTTATATTTGGTTTTCTTGAATCGTATTTTCTATACCTAATCTTATTATATATTTGAATACACAAATATTAGTACAAAGGGGTACCGAATACATATTCGTTACACAAGTCACTTGGTTTGTGTGTGGGCCGTGACACTGCCCGGGTGCCCAAACCGATGCAGGTGTTTTTATTAGGGGGCCACATCTGGAGCTTTCGACCTGAAGCAGTGGAGCATCGTAAGGAGATGCAGTCCCATGGTAGCCAGTGACCAACGATTGGTTCATATGCCATTTGTTCCCACAGGATACTGGAGCCCATGTGCACCATTGGTTTGAAATCAGGGTTTTCCAACTCCTAGGTGAACTTTCCATGTCCACTAACCCGGTTAAAGCGCCGGACACTCGCTTTTCGTTCTCTCAATTTCGTAAACAACACCCGCGCAACGAGAAGGTAGTGAGTAGGACTTCCCTGGCAGACGCTATATACGCGTGGGCATGTGAGAGTATTTGGAGAGGGAGAGCGGACTCTCTCCACTCTCGGCCGTACCAGGACATTTGGGGGCAGTCAATTAAGTTGATGTAGAGTGATGAATTCCATTCAATTAGTTGTTCCACAATTATCCGTAGTGTTGCGATTTGGTCAGTACACGATCGATTCTTACGGAAAACACCCAAACTTACTAAACTAAACAGATCATAGATCAACTCCAAGGTGGATATTTCAATGTTTTAGTTATAAATGTATATTTCCGCCTATATATATTCGATCTCGTAGTTGATCTGTTCACTGAGAATTCTATCTTAAGTATTGGTCAATTTAGTATATATTTCAGTGGTAAGTAACTGAATCAAAAAATTACTCGTGTGATTTAGTCTGCATCTCGATTTTCCAATTTTTGTTTATTGGTTTGTAAACATTTTTAACTTAATTATGCCGTAATATTGTCAATTTATATGTTTATTTTGGAATTCAGCTTATCAACCCCAGTCTGGAATCAATTCATGTCCAATATCCATGACTCAGAATGGTCAGCGATCTCATATATTTGGAAGTGTTAGTGTGCTCCCTAGTTTTGCTAGTGGTGTCATATCAAATGGTAATTCAGGACATACAAACCATGAATTCGTTCCTTCATCATCAGCGTATGACTTACAAGGTCAACAAGAACAGTATTCTCAGTCAAACCAGCCAGTTTCACTAGCATCTTCGTCATCTGCTGATCTTGATAATAGTAATAGTAGGAAGTTCTCATCACCAGTAACAGGAGAGTCAGTTGGACAAGATCCTTCCTCTGATACCAGTCAAACGACAGGCTTTGTATGTCATAATCGTGTATCAGAAAAAATTCAAAAATTAGTCAACACTTTGAAACGTCCCAAACGATATCCATTACCCGAATATTTTCTTGATGATGAAGATCAAGTACTTGTAAGACCTGTTGTTGATCCTACGGCACCACGTCCCAGAGGTCTTCCGTCTGAGCCACTTATAGGAGAAGAGCTAGTTGTAAGTTTTCTATTTTAACAGGTTTATCATCTTATAATCGCTATATTGTATGCCACCGATGTTTATATATGAACTGTCTAACGTTTTGATCGTAATTTGTTTTTATTGTAGATACCTTCTGGTTTACCAAGAAATCTAGAATCTGCGCTTCAGCGTTACGCTAGCTTGAGTTGTAAAACACCTGCCTTAACTTGTTTAGACGTATCTGGCAGACCAACTCAGGTGCTAACTTACGCAAAATTGCTGCAAGTATGTTCTAAGTTTTTCTTGGAAATTAAGTATTTGTATTAAGATTTCATGTTATCGAATAGTATTATTATATTATTATTAGCATTAGATTGAACTTTTGTTCAGCGGTCGATAATTTACGCGTTTTAGGAATATATCATTTCTGTTCAGTAAATGAGTATCTTTAGCCATCACATTGTGTACATTGCTCAGAGGTTATAACATGAACGTGTGCTTAAATCCTGTTTTTAATCCAACTGATTAAGAATATTTTTAAAAAAATCAACTTTTCTTATGATATTTTTGAATTGCCACCATATGGTTCCCTTCTATTGTGTATATTTACCGGTTTAATTGGAGTTAACATTGTTTAAGAGGACCCTTGAAAGTCACATCAACTCACATGACCTATATTAGATGAACGGATTATATGCAGTAATTTATCAACCGTTTAATTAAAAAAAACATTTGAGGGTTAGTAAAATAAATTGACCTCATAACATATTTAATCAGTATGTCCTCATGTTATAGGATAGTCTGTAGGATTCTTAACTTAATGTTTTCAGTCAAGAAATTTATTAGAGTTATGTACAGCCCTGTAGAGAGGTGCAAATGTCCTGATTAAGGTCTCCCTGAGTTGTCTGTAATTAATAGTTAAAGCTTAGTTATTACAGATTATTATTGATGTTCTGTGCTCAAGTGTTCTAATTCTTCATTTCGCTCCATGTTCTAAACATTGTATCGTTTCATACATTAAGCTATCAGAGTTGTAAAAGGTATTTATGTGCGATTGTATGCATATTTCTGATATTTAAGAGATTTTAATGCTAACTAATTATTGACCTAAATTATTTGTATTATTGTTTGTAACGATTATATATATTGATGAAATGACCTTGATTGTATTTTATGTAGCGTGCCATCCGAATAGCTTACACACTTTTGAATAAATTGGGTCATCGTGGAGAACAGAGCTTAAAACCCGGAGACCGTGTCGCATTGGTGTACGCTAATAATGAACCAATCAGTTTTCTGTGTGCATTTTATGGTTGTATTTTGGCTAGCGTGATTCCAATAGCAATCGAAGTTCCATCTCCTCGTCGAGTAAATACTCTCATATTATATGTGCTCTATGTTTATTTGTAATTAAGGCTTTCAAAAATTTCATTTTAGACGTTGTATGTGCATTTTTACTAATGTTTGAAAAAAAGGTTAAATCTGATCTGCTTTCCGATTGTACTTTTATATACAATGTAGAACCTTTCACTGTTTAATTTCTCGTTTGTTAGGATTTATTTATCAGTTTAGGGATTGTGGAGATTGTTAAGTTTTTGATTGAGATCATGAACCCGCGAGCGGCATCGTGGTTGCGCACTGCTGAGGAGTCCTACAATAGGACGAAACGGCCGTTCAGTGCCTCCAGGTTTTCAATGGTGGTCTAACATCAATCGGTTCATGATCTCAATAGAATTTATTTGTTTGCCTTTATGTTTTATAAAGGTTTAATAAGTTAAGTTCTTAAAAATCAAAAGTTTTTGTCATTTGAACAAATAAAGTGAATCATGAAGTATTATGTAAAGGAATTTCCTCATTTCTAGTCGGCCAATCATCCTAAATTTACTCACTGATATACTGAATAGAAGGATGTCAAGAGTGAAATACTTAAATTGCCTTATTTTATATTTTAAAGGATGCGTCGTGTCAAAGTATGGGATTTTTATTGGGTAGTCAGGATGCACGTATAGTTTTGGCTAGTGAGCAATGTTATAAAGCTTTACAACGTGGTCCTAACGGTGAGATATTATCATTTTCTGGTTGGCCACGTGTTACATGGATTAATACAGACCATCATGCTAGTGGAACCAAACCACCGAAAGATTGGACTCCTCCTGATCGATTAACCAATGATGCAACCATGTACTTAGAAGTAAGTATTGTTTTGCTTGACTTTTTACTCTACATTTTAATTTATATAAAACTAAATAAAATGTATGTAGTGTATAAGTTGTTCTTGGAAACTGTATCATACTGATCAGGAATGTGTAAAAGGTTTTGTAAGCCTTGTCACTTGTAAAGAAAAATTACATAACATCATGGATTATATTCCTTCATATTCATATTTCCTCCCATTATTCAAAATAATATTTGCAATATAGTTTTTTCTTAAAAAGACATTTTCTACCTTCACATCCAATTTGTATCGTTTGCCCGTTTCATAAATTTTTGCTATGTTGTTAACATTTAATTTTAAATCATTAGTTCTTATTATCTTCAATCTTGACATTTTTGATTGTCTAAAATTATGTAAATATATGTTTCTATCATTTCTTCCATTTCTTTACCTTCAATAATATCTTTCTTTCTTTCTTGGAACATTTGTTTTGTCCATGTTAAATTAATTAAAAATGCTATTTCAATTTTGATTTGTCTTGGACACAAATTCTTTTTTTTTTTACATCCTACTGACTGCAGGAATTCATTTTGTGTCACATTATCGTCTAAATATGCTGATCCTTTTTAAAATCCTTATTCGTGTGGCTAATCTGCTTTTCTATGCAATTCCTATTACATTTAATCATTACTTGTAGTTGTGTACAAGGTAGGGAATTCGATTTCAACTAATATAAGTATTCTTTTCATTAACAGAATCATGTTTTGTAAATATTCAGTTATTATTTACAAAATTAGTAGAAAAATTCTGGTTCTCATTATCGGTATTTTTAGTGTTAAATTGTCTATGAGTTTAGGAAACATAGTGTTAATATGTAAGGAAAAAACGAGTGGTGTCCCAATATCAAAGAAAATCAAAATAACCATCGGTTTACATGATGATTCTTTCAAAACGTACGTATTTTTTTCCCTCTAATTTTTTGGATTTCATTTTCTTGTTTCCGTTTCTGCTTTGTTTCTGCATACTATCTGTCATTCTTTATCATGTATTAAATTACATCAGATTTGATTGTTTTCCTTGGCTTTTGCCAACTTACGTCACCTATGGCGAAAGTGAGATATCCGTCCATCAATAAAAGGACGAGTATGCTGCGCGGCAGTCCGTTCTGTTTTAATTTACGGCAGCGAAACATGGCCATTAAGAGTAGAAGACACTCGTAAGCTATTAGTATTTGACCACAGATGCCTTAGAAACATTGCTGGCGTCTGCTGGGGTCACCGGGTAAGTAATAATGAGGCTAGACTCAGGGTATTAGGGAATGATGGTAAATCAGTTGATGAGGTTATTAATCTTCATCGACTGAGATGGTTGGGCCACGTGTTACGTATGCCTGAACACCGATTACCACGATGTGCAATGCTGACTGGTGCTGGAGATGGTTGGAAGAAAGTTAGAGGCTGCCAAACCAAAACGTGGCATCAGTGCTTGAAGTTACTAACTTGTAGTCTGAGCCATGTTGGTAGATGCAGACTACTTGGTTGGGGTCCGCGTGACTTTCGTAACCAATGGTTGGAGACTCTTGGTGACATGGCTCAGAATCGATCACAATGGCGTCGGTGTATACACTCCCTGTCTTCCCTTAAACTAAGAGACTAAAATCGCTTTATATCTTTCTTTCTACTAACTAATTCTTCCTTCATGTACTATATCCTTATTGCAATCTTTCTTTTATATATTACCACCTCTGAATTAACTACTTTTATGAATCCGGTGTCCATCTTGTTGTGTTAATGAAGTATGGCAACTTGGACCGATGCATATATGTGCCTGGACCTACGTTGTAGCTGACTGACTGACTGACTGATTGTTTTCCATGGTCTTATGTTGCCCAACATTTGTCCATTCCACTATGTTACAATTACGTTGATTACTGAGAAATTATTTCAAGAACCTTTCTCACTCAGTGGTCTAAAAGTAAATCTTTCTTCTCAAAAGTTGAATATCCTGAGTTGGATTCCTAGAGGGCAGACATCATAAGAATGAATAACAACTGGAAAGGAGAATTCAGGACAGAAATGGTTGGAGAACCCTGGTCGGCGGCCTTTGCTCTGTGATATATGATTTAGTTACACCATCCCGGGAACTCATGCCCTTTTTTTCTGAAAATACAGACTATTGATTTTAAAAGAAATTTATTGTTTTTGCAGATTTTAGTGAAATAATTTGAAGTATTAAAAAGCATTTATCTGGCTTTGTAATTCTGAAATTCAGCCTTTTTCCAACCTGATTGTATTTGTAGTTTCAGTATGGCGAGGGCTAATTAACTATACTTGTAAAATGTTTTAGTTCACTTGATGTATTATCGTTCATTATCATTTTTTGACCTCTAATTATAAAATTGGTTGAATGTTATGACAGAATAACAATTTTGTGTTTTTGGTTAATTTATTCAAACCCCACTATGCTTCATTTATACTCTGTCTAATAATTACATTGTACTAGATACCTAGATTTTTTAATCATTTATTTACTTTTATTATGTGATCGCTTTTAACGAGAGTTCTAACTACCCTCACTTAATACGTTGTCCTAGTATTTAATGACTAAAATAATCTGATTATAACATTTTGTCATTTTCAACTAATGAATCATTGATTTATATAATACAACTTTCAATTAGTTAGCCGTAGACCGTGCCTCAGGAACCAGATACTCTGGTTATCTTATAGACAGTATGTTCACTTCCTAATCATGAAGTTGCGTATGGTTAAATGAGTGTTACATTTTTAAATGGTTGGTTGGAATCTGACCGTAGTATAGGTTGTGCTTATAAGCAAAGATTAATGGTGGCTAGTGGTGAAATCAAGGACGCGCGTTTCGTCCGGTTTGGGACTCGTCAGCACGAAAATTCGAACAAATAATACAAAATGAATAGGTTGTCTTTGCTGAGTCCATTTATTGAGTTTAAATTGTGTAACACAGTAGACTTTTTCATCCACAACTATTCTCATTAGTAGTATGACTTACACTCGAAGTCTAGTTATTATTATTACTACTATTATTGTATGGTCTTACTTTTATTTTTTGTTACTGTCACTTTTCGTGATTCATCTCTACTGTGAAGAAAAACAGTAGGAACTATAAGATTATTGTTTTTATGACCTACTGGTTATTCATTGTGAATAATAAACATTTTTTTATTTTTTCGTAGTGTGTTGGTGTAGTCGTTTTTCCACCCTCCCTCCCTTTCTCTACGTTTATGTGGCCCATTAGTGTATAATCGTATTGACCTTGGCAAGTACTTACCTTCATCGATTCACAATCGTATTGTTTGTTATTAATACCTCCAATGTTTAGTTTCATTTTTGCTAGTCGTATAAAATGCAAGTCAACCACCACCATGTCTGGGAATAAGTAAACTCGGTAGCAGAAATTTAACTGTATTTTGCCTCTTTGATTTTTATCAACCATACATTTGATAATTTGATATGTAGATAGAGTAGTAATGAGAGATTGGATTCTGCAGAGGAAATCTTGTTTATTGTAACAATTACACCAAATTATTGAGATCATTTCTAGTGTTCATTTTTGACACCTGTCTCGTATTTCACATTTGTTAGTGATATCCATGTACGACAAACATATTTTGCAATTGTCTAACTTTTTATGATTTTCTTGTCGTATATAGTCTGCGTCTTAAAATCTTTATAACATTTTCGTTACATAAATTATCAACTACACAGTGCTCTTAGCCAATCGCCCGAGATACTGTCGCTTTTTTGTAATTTTGAAGTGTAAGTAGATAGTAGAGTAAACTGAATTAGTTTTGTTATGCATCACTGGAAATTGTCATGACGACAGATAACTAGTGTTGTGCTGATTGATCGTCATTGGAATCCGTGTTCATACAATCATTCTATTTAAATTTGGTTATTTTGTATTGCATATTGGAGATGTACATGGTTATGTACGATAAATGTGAAATTACCGGTCTTATTCTTAATGATTTTAGTGACTTTTCCTCTGTATATATTCTTTATGCCAAATACTTTTAAATTATTTAGTTGATGGTCTTATTAAATAAATAGGTCATATTCTATACCCTTTTTTGGAAGAACTAATTTGGGTACTAAAAAACCCTGGTTGACTTTAAGAATAATACTTAGTTTGTGTTAGATTTGAAATAGTCAGTGCCGAGATTATTGACAAGCTTGTACACATGAGTTACAGGACATTTCACCTAGTTGATTGATAAATTAAAATTATACACTTAGCTACACAATGTCGAGCCATGTCTTTTCATCCCACTTGTATTATATCTGGTAAACAACCATGTTATTAGTTATTGTTCTACTTCGGAGTAACCGTATTTGGCAGTCTCACTTGCAGTTGATATAGAAACCGGTATAATTGTATACCAACGAGAAACAAAAGAGAGTTAAACATTACAATACAGTTCAAAAGGATTCAATGTTATCTTTACGTAGTACTCGACGTCTAACCCCGCCATTACTCACTGATTTCATCAAATAAGAGCGATTCTTTGGAGTTACCTGTAACCAAATAATTGAAACCTACTTATATCTTTTGATCCTATAGACGATATTTCATAGCTGTTCAACAATAAAGAGCAAACTGCGTCTTAGTGTAATAGTTTATTTGACAGACAAACATCTCACTTGAACTGCAGGTGGCACAACAAGATGAACACCAAATTCATAGAAGCAGTTACCTTAATGGTAGTAATTTGTTAAAAAGATTGCATATAAGGATATAGTACAGGAAGAAAGAATTAGTTAATAAAAAGAGAGGTATACAGTAATTTTAATCTCATGGTTTAAGGGAAGACAGAGTGTATATACCGACGTCATTGTGATCGACTCTGAACCATGTCATCTCGAGTCTCCAACCGTTGTTTACGATAGTCACGCGGACCCCAACCAAGTAGTCTGCATCTACGAATATGGTTAAGATCAGAACTTAGTGACTTTATGGACTGGTACCACGATTTGGTTTGGTCTCCCTAACTTTCTTCCAACCATCTTCAACACTAATGGGCATTGCGTGTCACGGTAATCTGTGTTCAGGCATAAGTAACACATGACCCAACCATCTCAGTCGACAAAGATTTACAACTTCATCAACTGACTCATCAGCAGTACGGATATGCAACCCTGAATGCGGAGATCAAGTTATAGTGAGAAGCCGTGATCAGTGCGTTCAACCCGTTTCTGTTGTGACAGTTATCTACCGCAGGCAGTGCATGAAGGGTTGCGCAAGATCATGGATTAATTAAAGTTAAGTACGAACACTGTTGAGTACCGGCTGATTGATCTAGAGGTTAAGCGTTCTCACGCGAGACAGAAGGTTCTGGGCTCGTGTCCCGCTAGAGAGATCGTGAATGCGTACTGCTGATTAGTCTCATTAGGACGAAATGGTTGTTCTGTGCTTCCAGGTCTTCAATGGTGGTCTATTTAAGAGATCATTTCGCGATTCCAATGAGGAAAATAGATAGTCGTTGGGTTACATTTATCCATTTAAACTAAAAGTTACTGGTATTTGATGCTGGTCTAGGCTTTATTCATCATTTTTATGTGATTATGCAATAGTTTTATTTTTGGCCACAAAGACAAATGCATATTTCAATTCTTCCTTTCTTATCCCCTTCATTTTCTTAATATCTTTATGGGATAGAAAAGCCGAATAGATAATTACTTACTCTCACAGTCATTTGCACACAAATGTTCATTTAACCCTTCCACTCCCGCCCACATTATTTATCTTATTTGTTTGTAAGTTTTAGTAACAGGAAATAACATGTAAAATTAATCATAGTCATGACAATTCAGGGATGATTCATTCGATTATATATATAGTTGTGTAACTTGTTTATAAATGACCATCGTTATTATCCCCAATCCTTTTTAATATATCTTTTGCTTTCTTAAAACAATGTTAACTTATATATCAAATTATTTATATCTGTCACTATGTTGTATTATTCATAAAAACATAGATCAAAACCACTTTTCAAGTTATTATCATTATCGAAACTTATAACTGAATTTTATCATCAGTTAATCTCAGTTTAATGGTGGCGACCAATAACTATTCATTTATAAGAATTTGTAAATCTTGTGGAGATACAAATCAATTTCGGAATAATCGTTATTTATAGAATTAATCCTTTAGTGCTCATCACAAGTGCCTGATTGATTACATGAAGCTGAGTCCTAATTAATATTTTAGTAAGGTTGGGTGATAGGTAGCAATAGAATACAGGGCACGGACTCCGTCCCACTTGGAACTCGTCAGCTTTATGTGTTCCAGTGTTGGTGCCCACTCCGGGACTTAAACCCAACGCCTTTCACTTCAGATGTTCAGTGTGCTATCCACTGAGCTATTGAGCCCAAGTAACCACTGACTTGTGAAACGGGGTTGAGTGTAATCTTTAGTCTTTAATATTAACGTAAAGATACAAACACTTATAAATTTTCTTAAGTAATTTTCTATATAATATCTTGACAATTTCAGGCTAATACGTTATTTCAAATATTATATAACACCCTTTTTACTCATAAAAGGAACTAAAACTATCAGGTTCATTGCAAATTCATTGTCTTGCAACCTCTTTCCAAACAAAGAAATTAGAATAGTTTTTTGAACTGGTTGAATGCGATGCGTAAATTCTTTGATTATGGTGATGAAACTTAAAATAATTCTTTTTATCCCTCATGATAGTTACAGCTTTTGGCTTAAATATGACATCTAACTTTAATTTACAATATATTTCACGGAAGTATTTAGATAGTTTCAGCTAGATGCATAACATATTTTGCAATTTCTTTGTCTGCTGTCATGTGTAAACCTATAAACTGAATTTATCTAGATAACCTGAAGTTATTGTACTTGACTCCTATTTTTCTCTTTGTTCTTTGGGTTTTATATGTAGTTCCTTGTTGATTATTCTTTTTTCTTGTCTTACATTAAATGATATGGTTTATATCCTTTATAGTCATGAATGTCAACATCTGATAATTTGGTCAGGAAATTAAAATAAGTAGTAATACTAATCAATAATAAACAAAGATTTTCAGATTTTTGTTTATCACTACACTTTCCCTTTCTGTCAATCATAAACAAAGTATGCGAACTAATTTTTTCCGTCTTTCTTCTCGTCTTCAGTATACGTTTAGTAAAGATGGCAGTGTACATGGTGTAATGATAAGTCGACGTGCAGCCCTTTCTCACTGTCGAGCATTAACTGTAGCTTGTAATTATTCTGAAGAGGATGTTGTTGTCTGTGTTGTAGATTGTCGTCGACAAATCGGATTATGGCATGCTGTTTTGACGGTACGTATCTATTATATCTTATTTAGTATGTTATATCATACTGTTTTTTGATACATATAATGCATAAGCTAGAAAACTTTTAGATGTTATTAACCTGTCTACTTTTCAAGTAAACAGTTCCATGGATAGTAAGTTCATTCTGTTAAACAAACCACCTCTAAGGATTAATGAACGATTACTATGTCTAAATGTTATTTCTGTTTTATAAAAATTGACCTACATTACCCCCATAATATTCATGTTTTTCATTCAGAGGTTGTTAGATAAATCAGCTTATTAGCTTCCTATCAATTCTTGAGTTGAGCTTCCCTAAACTGCGAAATGTATATAATATGTTACTATTGTGGTATCTGCTACCTATGTTGACAGATATTAGTATGTAACATCAATCAGAAGTAGAATACCTGTCATAAGATGATTGAGGAGATTGAGGTGAAAAGAACCGAGAGGGAAACAGAAAGAAATTGGAATACAAGTAGGATTGGGAGAATCATGAAGTATGTAAATGACAACTGATGGAAGATGTGAAAATCAAGTACTTGGTGTATAGTTTTCATAATTTTAAAGACACTGTAATAAATTGGTCTTATCCACCTAAGTTTTCGTTCACTACACTGTCAAGTCTGTCTTGTTGTATGTGATTGTTTTATCATGTTTAGATTAGTTCCATATTTTCTGCGTTAACAAAAGTTCCTTACCTTTTGATTGTCAGTAACATTTTGTAATGTTTACTTCGATTCTTTTAATTATTCTCTTTGTCTTTAGAGCGTCTTCAATGGGTTACATGTAATTTTTGTGCCTTATTCAGTAATGCAGATTGATCCTGGCTCTTGGTTACGTATGGTTACCAAGTACCGAGGTAATTATTGGTTTTATACAATATATGCATTAACTCTATGCTAATGTACCGTTTTATACATATATTTGTGAATATTTTACTAATAATACTATTATAATAATTACTATTATATGACCATGTTTACACTCTAATTGAAATATAATAGAGTTTTTATTGTCACTGAAATTCAGTATATTCACTTCTTTTATTACAGCGTTTTCAATAGTTTTAATTTCACAAAAATATTTTATGAAAAGATTTATATGGTTCAATGATTGTTATCATCATGAACTGGACATGAACTTAACTATCATTTCTGTATTTTGTAGCATATTTCTAGGATAACATTTTTATGATGGTTGACTTTGAATAGTGAATAATGAAAACAAAAGTTATCAATCAAAGTATATTGAAGTTTTTTTACAAATTACATCATTGTTGTGGAATAGTTAAGCACCGTTATAACTGGTTTGATGTTGGTGTATGAAAAAGACGCAGCTCGAATGCTTTAATAGGTTGATTGATATTGGTTTCGTGCGCGAACGATTAAAGCGCTTATAAAATTATTGCATTGATTGACCATAACTAGATTATTTTAGTGTTTTGTAAGAGGCTGTAGAAATGCTTGAGTCGTTTAAAAACCATAGCATTGACTACGGGTCTAGCTTGTGTGGTTAGAAGGAATTCGAACGTTAATCGTAATCTATCTTTAAAGACCTTAGTTGATATTATTGGAAGTTGCTCGCGGTATCTCAGATTTATTGATTCATTCTATTTCTATATTGAATTACTGAATTTTATTATTGTTCTATATTATTTATTTTCTCTTCAATTTCGTTTCTTATGAAACATTGATATCATTCACTCCAATCATTGTAATTCATTTTTTACGGTTCCGGCGAAGTGTCGGGACATAAAATGATAACGGAATACTTGTATTTTGGTATCGCTTGTAAAGTAGTATATGCTTAGTTCAAAATATACTGAAAACATAAAAGCTCACTACAATACAAGTTTGTTTGTAGAAAAGTCAAAAACACATGAAAATACGTATTCCGATTTTCCTTGATTAATAATTAACCTCGATAAGTAATTTTGAATAGTGATTGTTACGTTTTGTCTGCATTGGTTATGCGAAAAATGCATAATATTCATTCAGACCAAATTTATGAGTTTAATTTACTATAATTTTTGAAATTTTATAAAAAAGCCATATCATATGCTTATCTCATCCAATTTTGTTCGTGTCTAAAGAGTCCTTTGTCAGTTTGATTGTTTCTGTTTACATGTTGTCGTGTCCAATGCATAGACTGTCGACAACATTTATCTTTGTCACATAGAAATATGCATTCGATCGTTTTCTACGTTTATAATCCATCCCATGAATTATTCAATGTGAGATACAATTTGAAGGCATTTCTTTGTGTCTACTTGCCTAACGTACTTTCCATGGTCTGTTTTTTGTCTACATATTCACATATCATTCATTCTATATCTTCTAATAAATTTTTACTACTGTATTATATTGTCAGTTATTTTTTTCGTCTTCATTTAATTCTATCTATATTCTCTTTTTATTTCTTCCATTTACTAATTTCTTTCAGCGACCGTTGCTATTGTAAAAAGTCGTGATATGCATTGGGCATTATTAGCTGAACGGGATCATCCCAATGTAAATTTATCTTCATTACGTATGCTTCTAGTTGCAGATGGATCAAATCCTTGTGAGTTTGAGTTGAAAATAATATTGCTCTTGGAAAATCCTACTTGGTTTATCCATGACGAACAAATAATTTATTGCTATTACTTTTTTATAGTATACAAGAATGAAATAATGGCCCCGGAATGCCCTGGTACGGCCCAGGGTGGGGAAAGTCCGCTGTCTCTCAAAATGCTCTCAAATGGCCACACGTACACAACCAAAGTGAATACCGGAGGTTTAACTAGTTGGTAGATATGAAGGATCCACCTAGGGGAGTTGGAAAATCCTGACTCCGAATTGGTGGTGCAGATGGGCTTTAGAATCCTCAAGGAACAAATGGCGTTTGAACCTATTGTTGGTCACCGTCTACCTTGGGACCGCAATTCCCAACGTTGCTCCACTACCTGTGGACTAGACCTCCTTATCAAAGTTCTTTGAGAAAACCACCTGCTTCGGTTTGGTCAACCGGGCAGTATCACAGCCCTCACATAAATCGAATGACGAAGTGTGGTGCATACATATTTGGTACATCTTTGTACCAATATTTATGTGTTTAAATAAATAAATAAACATGATTGAAATACAAATAAATTGGTCTTGTAATTAAAAGAAACTATGTAATTTTATATCAGTTTAATTGAACTGATCAATTAATAAGATTGGAATTAAAAGTAGTCAATGGGTTTTACTCAGTGGTGCTTCTCAGCGATAACTGTATTTTTTGTATATTGAAAAAAGTCTATCAGATTACATGAATTTCACGTTATATTATCACTAACATAAGCGATTCAGTCAATATTACATTCTGATTAATTCTCTTATCATTCCAATTCATTTAAATGTAGTTTCAACTTCTGTTCGTCATAATTTCTTGTAAAATTTCCAATAAATTGTAACTTTAACGCGAAATAAGTTTTCTACTTTCTCATTGATTCAACTGTTTAACAAGGTTGATTAGTAAATATAGTTTTGCATTTACGATTGATGATAGTGTGGTGTGAGCTACTTATATTGATATGAGTAGTATATGACGCGAGTTAAAACGTAATGTCTGGCAGCAGAAGATGAGGGGAAGATCAAGAAAAGAAGAGCGAAAACACAATGGAATTTGTAAGAAAACGCATGAACAATGGAATGGGACACAATGGATTGGTCTTTGCAACAGAAACAGTCCAGTTTGGTTTGATGCATGAACATTTTGCAAATTGACGATTTACTATATGGTATTTAGATTTTATTGAGATAGTCTGTAATTGATGTGCTAAATACATTCGATTGCCCCCACCCGTGTTCTTGTTCACTACAATAGGATTTTAAACAGAGAGCCTGAATCACTATAAAGTTTTAACCAACATTGCCTGAGTAACCAATCTTGTTCTATAGTGATTGGACAGCCTAGCTTAACTATTAACTAATTGTAAAATTTTCACTTATTCAAATTATAAGTACAAAGCTAACTGTGCTTCATCACTGTAACTCCCCAGATCTTATCGATTACCAATTAACTGAGGGCTCATTTTAAAACACAAAAAAACCTTCACCTTCCAGGTAGTGGAGTTGTTTACATCTCACTTATATGAAAGTCGGATATAATGCTCTATTAATAATGTGATCTTATTTATTCATTTAATTTGTTTCTTTTTATTGTCAAATGTCATGATTCACTTTATCAAAATGTTCGATCTTTATACATGAAAATAATAATAATTTGACTCAACTATGGAATAGATACTGTGTGAATAGGAGCTATTCACATCATATGATATTGTTTATTTACAAACCAGTTTGATAAATGGTATTTATGTATTCATGTATTTAAATAAAGTTAAGATTGATTTGATTGACACATAAAGTTCATTTAACAGAAACCTTTTTTTAGTTTTGAAAAGAAAAAAACACAACAAACTATTTATTGAAACTTTACATTACATCAAGTTCGTGATGTAAAACTTGAAATTTATTATCAGTAGTTTGTACAATACCCAATAATAAAATGTTTATAGAATAATCCATTTCATTGTTTTAATCTTTTTGTCTTCTATGGATAATACTTTTAAAAAAATAATTTTTATTAGTTAATTAAGATAACTGAAAATCTATTAAAACAAAATTCCCCTGAAGAAATGTAGTGGCGGTCATCATATAGACATATATTTCAATATACGGTAATATTTAACAACATGGAGGTAGTCACGTATATCAACTTGCCATTGTTTATTTGTTTCTTTCAATTTTTTATTGGATAGGGTGAAGAATGCAAAATTACGATTTATAGTTGTGTTTTTTTTCTTGAGTTATTCAACTGATTTGCGTAACAATTATTGAGTGAATCTGATGTGTCAGTGACTTGATGATTAGCTTGTTTCTTTTCTTTAATTTTTTTGAAGGGTCTTTAAACTCTTGTGATTCTTTCACACAAAAATTTCGATCTCGAGGATTTTGTCCTGAAGCTATCTGTCCATGCGCTGGAAGTTCAGAAACACTAACACTTTGTTTACGTCGTCCACCTCATCAAATGAATTCAGTAAATGGAAAAATATGCACAAATCCTCGTTCTGATTCAATTGTAGTCTCTCCTCCTAGTTCAGTAAGAGGAGTTATTTCGATCCATAGTCTTACTTATGGTGTTGTGCGTGTTGATACTGAAGATTCCCTTACTTCACTTACTTTACAGGATTGTGGACAGGTTCTGCCAGGAGGTAAGAATTAATAGCTATCTGAATACGGTTTTCGTTAGTTGTTTTTACTGCATGTTGTACTGTATATTGATGCCAACGAATTTTCTCTAACTAATCTCTTCGTATTACTGTAGCTTCAGCAGTTGTCATACGTTTGGGTCCCAAACCGATACTTTGTCAAACTGATGAAGTTGGTGAAATATGCTTATCTTCTGATTGTACTGGTTCTGGATATTGGGGTCTTCGTGGCCAAACTGATGCACATTTTCATGTGGAACCGATACATGAAGATGGTTCTCCTGTATGTTCTTCTGCTGGTGTTAAGAAGTATACACGATCTGGATTAATGGGGTTTCCTGGTCCAGCATCATCTGTGAGTGAATCGCTGTTATGTTTTCCTGTTTATTGCTTTTATTTATATGGTAGTGGTTAAGTGATTGAAATGAATAAAGAAGTCTATAAAATATATCGTCAACAACTGATTAAAGTTAGTTGATTAACATTATTCCAATCTCAGCGCTTCGATTATCTTTGATTTTTAATTATACAATGTTTATTGTGCTTCGAAAATGCACTTTATATCATTCGATTGCCAAGTTGATCTTTCTCAGTTACCACACACCTGAGTGGGGCATAAGATGATGTTAACAAGTTAACAAGTGGGAACTATCACATAGCTGAACTCATAGCTTCCTGTCTATCGTTTTCAAACATCTTACATTTATTTTAGGTTTTTTATTCACTCCTATGTTTCTTTTTTAAATATAATGCCCTAAAAGAAAAGGCGTAACAATATTTGACTTGGTAAATTTCATTTTAGGGTGGTTTAATCTTTATATCTGGTTGCATTGATGGTTTAATGACTATTGCGAGTAGACGTCACAATGCTGATGATATTATAGCAACGGTTCTCGCTGTTCAACCGACAAAAATTATCTATAGAGGGAGGTATGTGACATAATCCTCTGGAATATTTTCATTTCATACGATTTTTCCCATTTATAAACCTTAATAAAGGCAGAAAAAAATATCGGGGCAGAATAACTTGGATTCATTTATTTTGTGCATTCTCATTAGCTGTTTACAACCTAAAACAAATGTACATGCTTTAAATCAGAAACGTCTAGAACAAATTGAGTTAATATGTGAAGATAGAATAATAATACGGAAGGACCATTATTGTTCTAATGTTCGCTTACTTGCATGTTACACACATATATGAACATTCTAGAAAAAACGTGGAAATAGAATTGTTTCCCGAAGTGGAAGATAGATTGGGTGATAGTTACTTTCCGAGCTTTACTCATCTGGTTTATATTTTTTAAAATACCTATCAATTAGCGAACGCTTGAACAATCCTTCCCTACTATTTCTTCTTGTTATTATTCTATCTTCACATGTTAACTCAACTGACTCATGGTGTTTCTGGTATAAAATATATAAACTTGTTTCATTTTAATGACGAATACTATAGTTTTAAGATGTCAGCAGCTGATGAGAATCTAAAAAATAGTTGAATTCATGTTATTCTGTGCCCTGGCATTTGTTGTTATATTTTTATGGATTTCGCATTTCTAGTTTTAGATTGTCTTCTGGTCAGATTATTTACCGTCGTAAATTAGTGCACAATTAAACAAGCTTCTCAACCGTCACTTCATTCGAAGCAATAGTATTCATGACAGTTACACTTCACATTAAATTTGTAGCAAAATAAAACTAACACGATAAGTAGCCAAAGTTTCAAACTAACAGTGATATTATTGACTAAACATTGAGAATATGGTTTGGAAAAGTTAGTATACATGAACATTGATTCTTGAAATATAGGAATAGTTATAAAATAGATGTATCCTGCATCGCCTCCAAATGTCCCGGTACGGCCGAGAGTGGGGAGAGTTCGCTCTCCCTCTCCAAATACTCTCACATGCCCACGCGTATATAGCGTCTGCCAGGGAAGTCCTACTCACTACCTTCTCGTTGCGCGGGTGTTGTTTACAAAATTGAGAGGACGAAAAGCGAATGTCCGGCGCTTTAACCGGGTTAGTGAACATGGAAAGTTCACCTAGGGGAGTTGGAAAACCCTGATTCCAAACCAATGGTGCACATGGGCTCCAGTATCCTGAGGGAACAAATGGCGTATGAATCAATCGTTGATCACTGGCTATCATGTGACTGCATCTCCTTACGATACTCCCCTGCCTTGTGGACCAGACCCTCAGGTCGAAGGCTCGGGGTGTGGCCCCCTAATAAAACCACCTGCATCGGTTTGAGCATCCGGGCAGTATCACAGCCCCCACACAAATCAAATGAGTTTTGTGTTGCACATATCTGGTGCACCCTTGTACGAGTATTCATGTGTTCTAATAAATAAGAAAATAAATATCCTGCATCAACGTAGTGCGTTCTGATTCATGTCATCAATTACGACTTTATGAATATCTAAACCGTAGATGTGTAACAATAACAGAAATTAATGCATTATTTTATTGATTTCACTCATTAATACAAGGCTGATGGAATAGCTTCGTTAGGTCGAGCCACATTGGATTCTTCAGTTTTAACTTTATATATCAACTTTCATATATCGGTTCATATTGAAAACCAGTTTCTCTTATTTTGTATGTCTTCAATTGTTTGAAAACTAACCGTTAGTTGGATAATTTTTAACCATTGTACCATTCTCTTTAATTTTTTTTAACACATACCTGTCTGTGAACAGGATTGCTGTTTTCTCAGTAGATTTATTGAAAGATGAACGTCTTGTTATTGTAGCTGAACTAAGACAAGGTTATTCAGATGAAGCTGCTTTCACATGGATGTCTCTTGTACTGCAAGCTGTTGATAGTATTCATCAAGTTAGTGTTTATTGCTTAGCTTTGGTCCATCAAAATACATTGCCGAAAGTGAGTTTCATATGTATTTTGCTAGTCTTATATTGTTAGTTGTTATAGTTATATTGCTACTGTTTAATTAATGCCTTCTAAGTGGTCCTTTCAAAGAAAAACGAAATCAAAATATTGTAATTTCTTTCCAGGTTCTTGTGAAACAAGCAATTAATTCACTTTCAGTTAATAATTTATTGACTTCAATCATAATATTCACGTTCAATAATTAAATCCAGTAATCATGAACATTGTTTTGTTGTGGGAAGCATAAGGATACTCACTTTTCAAATTACATATGTGGCTGTGTAATGATCATACTACTTCATTGATATTTCAAACGAAAAGCCTTAATCTAGCATACGTAGAATTTAATAATTGTATTTTGGAGAGTTTAAGCTACATGTTTATTGTTTTTGCCATTTAAAAAAAAACTGAATGTTTGATTATCAGAAAGCATTTGGATTATCCTATGATTGATGTTTAATGAATTTGGTCTTGGTCGGTACTCTATATTAGAGTCTTGATTAAACTCAGTTCCATTAGTATATGCTTTGAGAGGTATGACGCTAAAGGCACTAGATGCGAGTCCCAAGGTGAACATCAACACTGAGACACAAGTACATCCAGCTGGAGTGTCTGAAATAGGATAGGATATTGCTCAGAATCTCAAGCATCTTAATACTTATCGTATGTGGCAATTCTTCTCCTTCTTAGTTGATATTTTATTATTTTATTGTCGTAATACAGCAACGCAAAATCACAATACATTGTTTCATTTTGTCATAACCACCATCGATATATTTTGCAAGGAACTATAGCTTCCTCTAGGTGGTTATCCTGTGACATGTTAAAAATCAATTTTTTGAAACAAATCACATTTTCGTCAACTGAAATACAATCGAGAACTTTGTATCAAATAACGTACGTTTCTACAAAATTACGCATTAGTGTAAATGTTTGAGATCACTTCATTGAATTGTCGTACTGCATTTATTGATCCCTTTAAAAAAATCTTATTCATACGTGATGTCAGTTGTTTCGTTATTGACCCTTACCTGTATTTCACATGAACTATCAGAAATTATGCCGTTACTATCTCGATCTCCTCTCTCTCTCTCTGTGTATCAATCCACCCCTCTATATATTGAATTTTATTGATTAATTCCACTTTCTTTTTGAATGACCAGTGTTTATACTTCCACTTAGATAAAAAGCATGTATATATGTGTTTATAAGTGCACGAGTGCATTCATCTATCCATCCATCATCCAAGTTTATCTAGACCAATTTGTTTCTGTTAGAAAAAAAATTATTGATACAAATGGTGCCATGAATAGATTTTCGTATCGTCTTTCACACTCCCTTCATATCCCATGTTAATTGATAACTGAACAGAATTTTTTTTTACAACAACAAAACAGATCAATAATAGTCTACTCGTGATCTATCAAATTGACGACATCTTTTTCCTTGTAAAGTTTAATTATTTTGTTGAGATTTTTAGTTGTTTCTTCATGGTTTTCATTCACAACTCAGAATTCAACTATGCACATAACTGATGACATGTACATTGTTATTGTCTAGATGTTGTTTTTTCTATATTGTAACTGTACATACCTATTATGACAATGAGTCTGTAGTCAGTAGTTGGAGAATTCATAATGCCAAAATCGACTGATCGATCGCAGTTCTAATCATCAATAAGAGGATCCGAACGACCAGTATATTTATGAATTGTTTGTTTTTTATCTGTAAAAATTAGGTAAGAATAGTTTGGCTAGTGAACAACATAACTAGTAAAATCATTATTGTGTGTCGTAGAATTGACCATTAAATATTTCGACAATGTTTATAAATTTGATCATACTAATTCTTCTAATCATTACTCCGATCGATTCACTAGTCTAGTAGAAGTTTCATTTTAACTTTGTGAAGTCACACTCTAACCACTCATTATTTCTCAGAACTGTACATAAAGTTATTCGTCAGCTATTAAATTTCATTTAATTGTTAGGAGTTCGTTCAATTTTATGGATTTATATCTATCTAAAGGAATATTCGTTAAATTTTAGAAATTTGTGTAAAGATATATAACTATATTTATTTATTATTTATTTCAACACATAGATATTGGTACAAAGAGGCACGAAATACATATGCGCCACACAAATCTGATTCGATATGTGTGAGGGCTGTGATACTGCCCGGATGCTCAAACCGATGCAGGTGGTTTTATTAGGGGGCCACACCCCGAGCCTTCGACCTGAGGGTCTGGTCCACAAGGCAGGGGAGTATCGTAAGGAGATGCAGTCCCATGGTAGCCAGTGACCAACGATTGATTCATACGCCATTTGTTCCCTCAGGATACTGGAGCCCATGTGCACCATTGGTTTGGAATCAGGGTTTTCCAACTCCCCTAGGTGAACTTTCCATGTTCACTAACCCGGTTAAAGCGCCGGACATTCGCTTTTCGTCCTCTCAATTTTGTAAACAACACCCGCGCAACGAGAAGGTAGTGAGTAGGACTTCCCTGGCAGACGCTATATACGCGTGGGCATGTGAGAGTATTTGGAGAGGGAGAGCAGATTCTCCCCATTCTCGACCGTACCAGGGCATTTGGGGGCACTATATATCACTATATATCTAAACTTGTTCTTTCTGTAAGGAAATTATTTAGACGTCCCTACCTTAGAAAAGAGATTACAATTCTTTAATTTATAGGAAGTATGCAGGCATATTCGCTTAAATTTACTGAGTGAACAAAGTTTTTTATTCTGCTAATGTCTCAGTATAATATTGTAGATAGCATCACATCGGATTGTGTACGACTTCCTGTAGTGTCGATGCTCATAAGTAGGATTGAATAATCGAACTACTGACTTATTTAGAATCTTAGTCTATTTCAGAATTATGTAAAGTTAGGTAGCTATATTACTCTATAAGTAAACATATTACTAAAACAATCCAGAAAAAACCTTAAAATAACTTTTCAATCTCTAGTTATCTACTCGTTTGACCTTTTGTGAAATTCCATGAAAAGTAAGTGTTCAGAATGTGTTGTACAATTACAACACATTTTTCCTATTCACTTCCGATTACATTGGGTGTATAATTTCATCGAAGGGTTTTGGTTCGGGATCGACTTTAGTAGTTTCATTCTGTTACGCGTCCCTTTTACAGTATTTCTGTAATCCGGTTTTCTCAATTCCTAGTTGTTTCCCTGAAATATAACATTTAAATTTTCAGCTTATTTTTAAGATATGGATTTTTTGTATGGATAATTTTCTGGTTTTACTTATATTGAATAAAGAAATTTTTTTCATTGTTTTCAACAACATTGATATTATGTTTATTTGTTATTTACAGACACCTTTTGGTGGGATAAATTGTCATTCTGTGAAAAGACTTTTTTCTGAAGGTCATTTGCATCCTACAGCATTGTTGCTTTGTCCGCATTCTGCTATACAAAATCTACCCCAACCTCGACAACTCAGACCTAGTTTGGTTGGACCATCTGCTATGATGGTCGGTCAAGTTGTTCAAGGAGTTAGGCTTGCAGAGGCACGTGGAAGACCTTTAGGATCATCTCCATCTTCTAATATAACTTCTGGTTCACCTGATAATGAAGTAAGCTGTTCTAATTGTTAGTGTCAACTGTTCTCGTTTTTATCTTTCCACACCTTCAGATTTATTTTCCGTTATTTATTATATTACAGCTGTTGAGATTTTGGATAAAAATTTTAGTGTTAAAATACGTTTATTCACTACATTGAAATGCAGCTAAATTGAACGGTTGCTTCGTAGTTGTACACGTGATGAAAATGTAGGTACAGCTTCATCGAAATAGGGTATACAGTGTTTGAAAGGATTCCTGCACACAAGTTGCTAATCCTATAAATAATTCATATCCATAATTGCCTGAAATTTACGTCTGCAGAACAATACTATTTGCTTGTTAACACTAGTAAACTGAGATCACCTTTGTTTTCTATGAAACATGTGGGAAAAAGGTCTATGTTGATGCAATTTTCACAAGATCCACCAAGTAAGATCAATCAAAATTTATTTTCGAATGTCAACACGGAGATTAGTCAAAAATCCACTCAAACTAAGTTGTTTAAAATAAAGTTTGAAAGAGCTAGTTAGTTGTATGTAAAGAAATTTGAATCCATTGAAACTGGAATGCTTATTATGTATACATTTATTTTCACTTTTTTTTGTAGTTTCAACTGTTAACTGAGATACTTATTCACAGAGCGAATCACACTCCAGACGACAGATTATTTACTGTTTATAATACTAAAGGACAAGAAGTTTCGACGCTTACTTGTAGTCAACTTTTACGCCGTTCAGAAAGATTAGCAGTTCAGTTAAAAGAAAAAGGTAAAGCTCAAGTGGGAACAATTGTTGCGTTACTATATCCTCCAGGTGGGTTTAATTTAATTTTTCTTCGTTTCTGTCAAGTCGAACTATTTCTTACCCGTAAATTTTTTTCATCCTCCTGTTTTTCTCATACTCTTCACAACCTCCATTTGATATTTGAAATCTCGAATCGCTTTATGATGTGATCTCTTCTATCTTTCTATGAACTTAGATATTTACCATATAACTATGACAACGAATGTACAGCTTAAGTAAACGATTCCGTTGAGAAGGAAATTTTATTCGTTGAGTTCTCTTCTTTGTAGTCCAATTGGTGAATTGGATGTTGTGAGTTTCCACGAAAAGTATCTAAAAACTTGAAATAATATATTCTCAGAGTTCCATATTGTAGTTAGCATTTTATGTAAAGTAAAATTATTATTATTATTGTTATTGTTAAATGAAATTAGGTAATGCATAATCGATTTGACTTCTTACTCTTTAGCAACCATATACTGTTCATCAAGATCATTTAAGTTTGTAATCTTACTGTAATGAATTTGTCTGACATATCTGTAAAAACCTTCTATGCGATCGAACACCCATGTGATATTCAAATGTGTCAGTTTAATCGTATTCATTATTTTTTTGATGCTTATTCAAATGAGTAATTATGCGTATTTTTATCCATGTATTATATATGTGGCTGTTTGTGTGCATCTATTTTGTATTAACTGCTTGGGACCATATAAACCCACTGAAAGATTTATACTACAATCGATTATTAAATCAATCCACTCGCCACTCTCTTGATCGCCAGTCACTCTACAAAGCACAAAAATTGATCACTACATCATACCACATCATATTATTTCTTTCATACCACGACACCATGTCATGCACTGATCACCTCTCCGCTTATTCCAACCAGTCCCAGAGTCGGCAAATAATGCACGACGTGGAATTCTTTGGGACGACATTCGGAGAACATGTCCAAGCCACCGAATTCGGTGTTTCAAGATGGTGATACCAATTGAATCATCATCTCTGCACCCAAACACACGATGCCGAACCTCTTCATTACTAACATAGTGTTGCCTCTGGATGTCAGCAATCCTTCAGAGACAACGATGATCGAACACAGAGAGTCGTCTAGCATCCTGCTCCTCGCGAGTCTATTTTTCTCGGGTTTTGAACAACCTACGAAGTATGACGGAAGCCAATAGTTTGGACGCAATCGGAAGTAGACTTATCCAACGATAGTTGTTACAGGAACGACGTGAACCCTTTTTAAAGATAGGGACAACTATCGACTCATTCCATGACGTTGGTACACTCTCTAGTTTCCAAACCTTTGTAAACAACGTCGTCAATTCCTTAGTCAAATAGTCACCACCATCTTTAAAAAGAGCCGGAGGTAAGTCATCTGGGCCAGGTGATTTGTAACGCTTCAAGAGTTGGAGTTCCTTGCGAACTTCCGCCTCGTTTGTTGGATCAGTCGTCACCGTCCATGGAGGGCAGGACAGTCTGACCGATGTTGCCGGAGCAGCAGGCCAGTTGGACTGCCCTTCGAAAAAATTCTGCCCATCATCCAAGACGTCGATGGATGTTAGTGATTGGCATCCCATCATCCTCGCAGATTGTTTCACTCACACCAGACTTCTTGCTGCCAGTGGCTCGGATGAGTTGGAAGAGCTTCCGGAAGTTACCAGATGCAGCTGCTGCTTCCAGCTCATTAGCACGCTTCGACCACCAGGTTTCTCGGTCCTTACACAAGCTTTGCCCCATTTCCTTACGTAACATCCTTCGTTTATGGTCAAACTCACGGTCACTCGGAGTAGACCGACGGGCTTCAATGAGTTGTAAAGAACCAGAAGAAACCCAGTGCTTGCAAGCGGGACGTTTCGCGAACCCACAACTGACTGTACCCGCCATTTTCATGGCGTCACGCAATTGCAACCAATGCTCATCTATACTTTTCGGTGGAATGGTAGCTAGCCTAGAGGCTAGCTCGGTTCGATACTTACTTGCAACAGAATTTGCAACCAGCTTGCTGATATCAATCCGTTGGTGGCGGTCACTTCGTTGTCCACTGAAAAGTAAGGTAAGATTGGCGCAGACCAAGGCATGGTCAGAGTCCAGATAGGTACTCCGAAAGGAGCGGCAGTCTTGTACACAACCACGCCAGCGGTAGCTGATCGCGATGTGATCAATCTGAGTCCAGTCTTGAGATGCAGAGGGAGGACGCCAGGTGGCAGGACGGCGATGACTGTGCCGAAAATTAGCGCTAGCCAGAAACAAGTTGTGGTCTGTGCACAGTTGCAGTAGACGGTTACCGTTATCTATCCTGCCACCAACGAGTCCCCATCGGCCACCTCAAGGACTCTCTTCTGTGCCTAGACGCCCGACCTGAGCATTCAAGTCTTCGGCTAGTACTACAATATCTGTCGAACGCACTTTCTGGAGAAGAACAGATAACTGGTGGTCGAATTCATCCTTGATTGCATCCGGGCTGTAATCTGTCGGGGTATAGGCGGAGATGACGAAAAGACATTGTTTCGTACACCGATTTCTTCTCACTTTGATGGAACTTTCTAATCTAACAGCACATAACCGACTGTTAATTGGGATCCAGTCGACTAGTGCTGCCTCAGCTCTAGCGCTTAGTGCGACAACCATCGCCAGCAAGAGTAGACAAAGATGCCACAGGGTCCCCGGATAAGCGCACCTAAAACAAGCTTTTTGAAGTGACAGATGGAGAGCGAATTTGTAGTACTTCACCAGAGTCTTGAATATGGGTCTCGGATGGACAGCATACATCGATATTAAGACTTTCCAAAGATATAGCCAGCCCTATCTGTTGTCCGACCTGCATAAATGTGCGAACGTTGAAGGCAGCCAGTTCGAATGGTGCACGTGGTTTCAGAAAAACTACTTCAGTGCTCGTACTTGGTGGTAGCATACGATTTCCAACCAAGGAGTGACACGAGAACGTTTAGATAGAGCCGAATTTCCACCATAGGCGAGCTGCTGTATAAGTCGAAAAACAAGTATGCACAGAGGGGGAATAAAATAGGGTGGATAAAGGACGTAGTAAATAATAATAATAATAATAATAATAATAATAATAATAATAATAATAATAATAATAATAATAATAATAATAATAATAATAATAATAATATGAATCATTTGATTGTTAATCGCTGCAAGAATAATATTTTCCATAAATATAGATAGTTCATCATTTGTGTGTGGGCTGTGATACTGCCCGGGTGCCCAGACCGAAGCAGGTGGTTTTATTAGGAAGCCACACCCCGAGCCTTCGACCTGAGGGTCTGGTCCACAAGGTAGTGAAGCATCGTAAGGAGATGTAGTCCCATGGAAGCCGGTGACCGACAATTGGTTCATACGCCATTTGTTCCCACAGGATACTGGAGCCCATGTGTTCCAATAGTTTGGAATCCGGTTAAAGTGCCGGACATTCGCTTTTCGTTCTCTCATTTCCGTAAACAACACCCCTGCTATGAGAAGGCAGTGAGTAGGACTTCCCTTGCAGAGGATATATACGCGTGTCTATGTGAGAGTATTTCGGGTGGGGGCTCCCCCCCACTCTCGACCATACCAGGGCATTTGGGGCAGAAATAGGGACATTAACGGGTAGGATTTGTATGCCTATAGTATACAATTCTCTTTGAACCTAGCACACAACAATAGCATCATACACTGTCCCATCGCCCTTGGCAGATCAGGCAACCTGACAGTTACGAGAACACCATCAGGGCATACGACAGGCTAGGCACCCACCTTATATCTCATTACATAATATGATCAGTCTAGGAAAATATGCATAATTAATTAGAATTTGAAGTAATTGTAGTCAGATAGAAAAAAACTGTTACAATGTTTTATGCTTATAAACAAGGTCAGATTTTCAAGAATTAAAGTATCATTTATATGATACATTCAAATTTAATGATGATAAGATTAGATGTATTATTTGTAAATATTGTATTTGGGAATAATCTCGACTATTGGAATTTAAATAAGTCCAACATTCCGTTCATCATACTTGTTTGAACCTCTTCAGGATAATAATCAAATTGAAAATTATCAAAGAACATATATAATGTTTTACAATCCAATTATATTCAGATTTTGAATTAGGATAATATGATCTTTAATTTCTGTCAAACGATTCACTCAGATATTGACGAATATTCGTATATGATTAAATGTAGTTAAGAAATAACATTTTTTTTCTTGGAAAAGTATTCTTACTTTTTGAATAAACCTTAATATAAGATGATGTAGAGATGAATTTTATCAACAAACCATCAATTCACTATTTTTCTCATAGTCTGATCACGTTGTTTAATTTATTAGTATCATAACATGAATTTTAAAAAAGGGTCAAAATAAATCAATAGAACGAGTAACATTATCAGTATCATGCTAAATATCGAATGTCGGCACAAACAAACTCATATGACATATCATTTCTCATTCATTGTAAACTATATTTTTCATCGACCAACGATTCAATTGACCTATCAAAAAAAAAACGCAATTTTTATAACGTAGCGTATAATATATGATCACGAATAAAGACTTAAAATCGGTAAATCTAAAACTGAGCAGACATTCAAATGTTTGCTAAAATATTTCTACTTAGACGTAGCCTTTTTTGATAATATTGATTTTTACTAGAGTCAGACTATACTGACGAACTTAGGATATTCTAAGAGCAATCTTGAGGTCACTTACCAATCTTCACCTAATCGGAATGCAGTTTTTGTGAATGAAATGGATTTCACGGAAAACTGGCAGAATTACATAGAACGTAGAGTTTTAAAATGCTACTGTCTTCAATCTTTTATCCAATGAGTAACAGTCCCAACCTCTAAAACTGTACACCTCACACTCCTAACTTTAGAAATACTAAAATAGCCTCATTCACGGACTCTGCGCCTTTTCTGTATTCCATTTCCAGACTACAATTTTATAGCATGCTTTTTCTCAGTAATTCATGATTCTGTTGATAATCTATAATAATGCCATCATGGAAATGAGTCAAAATGCGAAATTTTGTCATGAAATTTATCCGGCAATTGTGTATTCGCAATCACTTCTTGAAAATCAAGCCTAAATTCACTGTGATTGCCCGATTCTATGTCTTCCAAGGCTATCAGTATAGTTTAATTCTATTAATTTTTCCTTTGTTATACATGTGAACATATTAAATGTTTTTCTTTCTTTCTCATTTTCATTCTTCATAACTATCGTAATAATTACTATGTGATCAGACTTCCGGAAATGTATTAGGCTCATTTTTACAGACAGGGATACTGATAAACTCCGTCTTCTAATTGTACTATAGAAGTATATATTTTAAAACTGATTTTGACCAATCATTAATAAGCAGACAATAACATTGATCAACATTTCATCACGTTGACTTATATTTTCTTCGTAGTTTAAAATGTTTCTAAATCAACATACATGTTGTTACTTGTGATTAGGAACTCATTTATCTCGGGAGTAGTACTATAATAAATCGTTTGCTACAAATCCATTTCATCCTGATAATTTTTCTTTCATAGTTATTACCACATCTCGAATGTTCCCATTTGTTTGTTTTCCTTAAAGTTAATTTTATGTATAAAAAACGCGTTGCAGATAATCATTCTTTGTATTTGCGAACAATGCAATTCAGTAATGAATTAGTGTTTATTATCATTTATGTTGAATAATGTATTAGCAGTGTATCATGTTCCTAGGCATCTTTTCTTTTTTCTTCTTTTATACTTCCACAGGCACTGAGCTTGTTTGTGCATTTTACGCTTGTCTTTTAATTGGTGCCATTCCTGTACCGGTACGCCCGCCTCGAATAGATTCTTCCGCTCCTGGTGGTGGTAGCTCTGTTAGTGCTACAATTAGTTCTGGTCCCATTGGGCTGCTATCTGGACCACCTGGTTCAGGATCATCATCCGGTATAAGTTTATTAGGTTTAGGAGGTGGTGGTGGTCATAATGGGAATTCACCGGTTAGTGGTAGTGCTGGTCAATTGTCTTCTGGTACTGGAAGCTTTCCCAATGTATACTTTCGGCCGAACACTCCTAGTTTAGACGCTTCATTGGATTTAATTTGGAATGTTGTAAAGCACTCAGGAGCAACAGTTATTTTCACGCAAAATAATTTGATTAAACTGTTGAAATCTAAGGTCAGTGCATATAGCATTGTCTAATATTCATTTGTTAATGGTATCATTTTGAAATGTTATGCTTTTATTATTGTTCATTATGAATGATTATAGATGATTCTTTGGAAGTTTCGTCGTTTTTAATTTTATTCTGACTAACAGTTCACATACGCGACTCAGTCACGTAATTTATTTTTCTGTATAAAAAGAACAGAATTCATCGTTTTACAGTTTTGTTTATTAATTTCGTACGTCAGTTAAACAAAAGCTAAATGCCACAGCATTATGTATTACAAATGTATTCAAAATGTATCCATTAACAGTATTTATATGGATGTGGGACAGCTAATTTACTAGTTGCCAGATTTTCAATCACTGGCCTTTTGGTTTACGGTTCTACTTGGATAATAAATCTACTTTAAATTTTCAGACCAAACTGAAAATGAAGACAAACTAAGGATAAACTTTACCTTTGTTGTCGTATTAAATGCGATTAAAGCTGGGTTTTTTCTATGTAGTTATGATCTATGGTTTTAGTTTTCCACTTCTAGATGAATTTAACGCATGATTTACAATATTTTTCTCTCTGCAATATACTATGTTAATATAAAAGTATAATAATAATACTAATACTAATACTAATACCAATACTACTACTACTACTACTACTACTACTACTACTACTACTACTACTACTAATAATAATAATAATAATAATAATAATAATAATAATAATAAGCTTTACGTTACAAACATACGGTATCTAATACAAAGTATTTAGATATTAATGAATCCTATTATACAACGCATATATGGCATTAGGATTACCACTTATATCAAAATGGATCGACCATCAAAAACACGAGCCCGGAAAAGCCCTAATCCTTCGAATATTAACAACTCTGTTATTACCTATACCCCACACTCAGTAACTCCTTTCGAACCAGATAACGTTAGGAGTGGGTCTACACCACACTTGCTGCAGATATGTGATAGGTGGGTCCTGCTACTGAGGCAGCGGGATTTGGTGTAGTCTCAACATTGTTATTTTCGTTTATGGTACACTTTTGAGTAAGCCTTTGATTTTTGATATTATTTGAGACTACGAGAGTTCCTAAACTTCGTAAGCGCGCAGATTAGCCGTTCAGATTCCTTCATCTGTTCAGCCAATAAATGTGAATAGAACCTAAACGAGATAGGGCACGTGAACTCCTTGTACTTTTAATTAAGGCGAATACATTGACGCAGACTATCTGCTGCTGATTTAAATATTTAATTCTTCACAGATTTAAGTTCGATTTTGTTAGGTATGTAATAGATAAGCACGTTATTTCGAGAGATCATTGGCGTAGTAACTTTGCTAGCGATAAAATCGATAAGAGACTCTACTTTTGAAATGTCTTCAAGTTTCGCAGGAACCACATACTTCGACGCTAGAAGTTTAAGGAGTGATAATGCCTTTAGTTCTTGCTTAAGATAATCATGCTTTGATAAAGAGCCCGCAAGTGGCTTCACTTTAGAACGCATATCGCCTAATTGCTTATGCACATATCAGATGGGTTTTTGTGGAGATTGTAGTAATTTCAATGGTTAAGATCATGAGTCAGTTGTAGCTAGACCACCATGGGAAACCTGGAAGCACTCGACGGCCGTTTCGTCCTACTGTGGGACTCCTCAGCAGTGCGCATCCACGACCTCGACTCCTGTGAGATTCGAACCCAGAACCTACTGGTTTCGCGCCCGAGCACTTAACCACTAGACCACTGAGCCGGCATCCAACAGTGTTAATGTCACATATTGTCTAATTCACTCGTACTATTATCTATGATTATTGATCATGATGTAGAACTGGTACATAATATGGAGACTGGATCATGTTATTTCAAATACATGATTCATGATGAAGAATTGAAAACCGAACCAAATGGTAGACAATACTTTTGCCACCTAATTACAAGCAGTTTACTGTAAGTGAATCCTAAGTAAAAATCAATAACAGGGGAGGAAATCATATTGAATTGTCGATTAGCTGTTTGCCTGTTTGTCTATACTCAGTGACCACTCACATTTACTTTCATCATCACACATCATAGATTCATCTATTTGCATCGGGATATGAATTTACTATAAATCCAGATAGTGTTTCTCATATGGAAAGTGGTTTCTAAGTCGATCTGAAAAAGTTTCTGTTCATTTAAACCACACTCATAAGACTTTTTAAATAAAAATTTCAGATAATCTTAACAATCGACTTGGTTTTCACAAATTGTTTATCATGAATTTTTAGGAGGCTACTAATCGTATTCCGTTTAATCATTGGCCAATAATACTTGACTCTGAAGAATACAATAGACGGAAATCGAATTTCACAATACAAGCACCTTGTTTAGATCAACCAATAGCTTATTTGGATTTTGCTGCATCAACAACAGGTATGTCTTATTAATTGTTAATTAGTTTGTGTAAAAGTTACGAGCAAATTTGTCCAGTGAACTATAAATTGTATGTTTTATACATCAGATATAAATTATTTAAAAAAATACATACATAGTGAACGAGAATACAGGTGAGACAACCAGTGTGTTTGAATGCAAAATTACAGAATCTCTTGATAAAATATGAGAACCATACATTGGACACTTCATTTACAAAATCCCATCATTTGTCCTTCACATTGTGTATTGTTCTTCCAAGTCACAATTCCTTTTTATTTCAGTTTCTGTTTTCTTCAAGTCAACCTTCATAGCCTTCTGCTGCCATGCATTACTCTTTTGATTTGTATTACATGCTACTTATTTCGACAGACATAAGTAGCATGCAACACACTGTGAGTATTTCATTTTCCATATGGTCAGTTCTCATATTATTGACCGCCTATTTCATTGTATTAACTATCCATCTGTACTGGGGATCTCGGGCAAATATATTCTTTGATGGTTATATCTTTAGCTCATGTTTATTTATCATTTACCTTATCTGCTTTCATTATAACTGCTGATTGTGATGTGAATTTAATATCACTGGGTGGCATCGGTATATGTCAATCATTTCAGGTACACTTTGACCAATATGCAACCGCAGTTCAGGGTTTACTTCTTAATACATCTAAACATTGAACATCTACACATAGTGCTGAATCACCTAGACTTTTGTGGCTACTTTACAATTTGATAAAATGTTTATCAGTATAAATGATTCGACATATGTACTGTTGGTTACTGCTCAGTGGTTAATCTTTGTAAACACTAAACTAGACCATCTTACACTTACTAGTTAAATTAATATAGGGTACGAAATCCGAAATTCCCATGACATGTGCTGGTGTAGAGCATATTCTACTTTTGTTTTATTTTTTCCGACAAAAATTTTTAGTCTCGAATAAAGCGATTGTTTTCATCCATATAATTGTATTATTCGCTTGAATCAAATAGTGAGTCATTTAACCCATAATAATATGTATGTTCTATAATTTGAATACTTAAATATGATGAAAGTTGTGCAGTTAGGAAGTCTTCTCCTAGGTTGTGTTTTCTCTTTCTCTAACGATTCACTAATATTGAAAGTAATTCAGCCTCAATGAGTTTTTTTGTAGCCGTTTACATGATATTTGCATTATTCTTTAGAAAAAAAGTAATTACATGTATAAAATTTCAATCAATGGTGGAACGTTGAATCAATTTCACATACCTTTTTTATTTTATTTTTGACATTCTTTCAAAGTTTGATACTTTAGTGTTACCAGAAGGAGTTTGTGGAGATTTTAGTAATTTTAATAGTTGAAATCATCAGTCAATTAAATCTAGGTCAACATGGAGGACCTGGAAGCACTGGACGGGCGTTTCGCCCTAGTATGGGACTCCTCAGCAGTGTGAATCCACGACCCCGCCTAGTGAGATTCGAACCCAGGACCTATCATTTTCGCTAGCGCTTGACCACTAGACCACTGAGCCGGCATCCAACGGTATTAATGTCTAACTTCAACTAATCCACGAAATTGCGCCACCGTAAACCATTGTCTTCAGTGAGCTGATATCTCACAACAGACCTAGGTAAACTCCGCTGGTCATGGCGCTCGCGCGCGAGACTCATAGTTCCTGGCTTCGAATCTCGCGAGGAACGGGCTCATGGATACGCACTGCCAAGGAGTCACGTACTACGACGAAACGGCCGTCCAGTGCTTCCAGGTTTTCCATGGTGGTGTAGCTTCATTTGACTCACGATTTCAACTATTGACATTAGTGTTAGTTGGGTTTTTTTTCACAAGTGACTTCATGACCTTAAAAATGGAAAAAAAACCCAACTAGTTACTACGAAATAATTACATTTCTAATCGTATAAAGCACACAGTTTACTATCTTTATATTCGATGCATTATTTAAATTAATGTTAATTATTAAAATGAAAAACAATATATGAATGAAGATATATATATATATATATATATATATATATATATATATATATATATATATATATATATATATATATATGTATATATATATTACAATCAGTTCATTTCCTTATCAATGAATGCTCTACACTAAATCCATATTAAATAAATGATGGTTGATTAGCTTCACAATGTTTTTTTTCCACTCAAATTGTAATTAGTTAAAAGATAAACATATGTGAATAGATGAGATAAATTGAAAGGTAGGGCAATGTATTCAGTTAATTATTATTTTTTTTAAAATAAATAAATAAATAAGAAGAAAAAGAAGGAAACTCATTATGTAATGAATCAGAATTAAGAAATTTTGGAATAAATTAACTGAATAGTAATTAAAGAATTGGTTCAGTGATCAAATTATTAACATAGTTGGATAGTATGAAACGAAGTTATTAATTAAAGCTAAAATAGCATTGACAATTTTTGAGAAATGTCGTGACCGTATGGAAGATCATGGTAAGTTAAGAGGATGAACAAACTTTGTTTTGTATACAAAGATTAGCTTGTTTGATATGTATACTTATTGTTTCTGCTGTGTGCAAAAGATAAAGTTTATGCGACAATTTCATTGAAATCCTACAAATAACAGTTCCTTAGTTTGATGTATCATCACTCCATTGTATTGAAAAAAACTTCAACCAATAATGTAATAACAGACGAAAGACTTTGATCACACTATGGAATGTTGAACTAGCTAATTATTGCTTCCATACGCCTGTTACTCCTCGTGGAGGAGTATAGGCCACCCACCAGCACTCTCTATCCGATTCTGTCCTGGACAATCCTTTCCAGTTGTTATTCATTCGTCTCCTATCTGCTTCTATTTCCCGACGTAATGTGTTTTTTGGCCTCCCTCTTTTTCGCTTCCCTTTAGGATTTCAAGTTAGGGCTTGTCTCGTGATTCAGTTTAGTGATTTCTGCAATGCATATCCTGTCCACTTTCAAATTCTTTTCTTAATTTCCTCTTCAGCTGGAAGTTGGTTTGCACTCTCCTAGGGTAGGTTGTTGCTGATTGTGTCCGACCAACGGACATTGAATATCTTGCGTAGACAATCGCTTATAAATACTTGTACTTTTTTGATTATGGTTTTCGCAGTTCTCTAAGTTTCAGTTCCATTCAGTAGAACTGTTCGTATTGAAGATTGGTCGGTCCTGGCGATAAATATTGTGTGATCGCCAGTTAAATGTTATCAGTTCAGTAAATGAACATCTGAATAATGTGCATTCTCTTCGCTGTATATTGCCAGCAACCGCATTGTCTCTTATTGAGTTTTTTGTAACTTTGACAACGAAAGGTTGTACACTTTTCAGAAAGGCAGCAAAATAGGTCATGCGATTAATAAACTTAATGATATATTAAAACAAACAGAAATAGATAACTTGTTGAAATATCTAGATGGCAGGAATAGGTAGCTCAGATGCTCAAGCAGGCCGCCCTTATGTGAATAATCACGAGGCATTATCTTTGAATCAACACTATTTTTAACCATTGTCTGTGACATCTTTAATGAGCGTTTGGATATATGATGGGTTAAAATATATCACTCATATACGGAATAATCTTTGGTTGGATTTCATGAACCGAAGTTAATTCCAATAATTTTGATTTATTTATTTATTTATAACTATTTATTCATCATTTCACAATATCTTCCATTTTCGTCTACATTTTCATGTGTTTTTAGTTTATGAACCATTTAGAACTATAAATCATTATCTGTAATTCTATCTTTATAAATATCTGTCAACTCATTTACATCATTTTTGTGTGTGAATGAAACGGTATATTTATAAAAAAATTAATTTTTTATTCAACGTATTAACTAACTGTGTTTGAGTGCCTCTTTTCATTATTCATAACTATTGGTACAAGGAGGCATCAAATATATACCTTAATATATACATTAGACAAAATGATTATTTTCCAAGGTATTGTTTAATGATTTTACATTTTTACAAAATATATCGCATCTTACTATAATTTTTTTCCTGTTCTTAGGTACACTGACTGGAATTCGTGTAACGCATCAAGTCGTTTATGCGTTATGTCGAGCTCAAAAAATTCAATGTGAATTTTATCCAACTCGTGAAGTTGTATTGAGTCTTGATCCATATTCTGGTCTTGGATTCACTTTATGGACATTAACATCTGTTTACTGTGGACATCATTCAGTATTGATACCTCCAAGTGTTACAGAAATAGTACCTGATTTATGGCTTACTATATGTAGTCAAAGAAAAGGTGATTTTTTCTATCTCATTTTCTGTATTTTCTTTACTTTTCAAATGTTATGATAACAGATACTTTTATCTCACTGTACTAATTGTTACGTATCAGTGTGAACTGATGCACATATGTCCGAAGTTTTCCGTTGTTTATATTCCTAAGTTTTTATTTTTTTGTTCAGAAATGTTATCTGTATTAATGACAGCTCACTAATTTGTTGGATGAATCTATTAAATGTCTAATTATAATTATCGGCTAGATTACACCTTTCTTATTTACAACTGTGGTAGATGATCCACCGTATCCATGTTAGCTAGTGACTTCTATTTTGGAATGTTTGTTTATTATCGGAATGCAGTATTGATTAATAATACACTCCTTTGTCACTTTCTTATTTGATATTACTTGGACATGTGTTTTTTTCCTTGAATTATTAATCACTTTAACTGAATTTACTTGTTAGAATAAAAAACAATGATTCAAATATAAATCCCACGTAGACTACTTCGTCAATGTCAAGCTCAATTCATGTAACTGCGAGTAATCCAGCCCTCATCACTTAGTGTCGTGTACTTAATTTCCAATCTAGAAGATTTACTAAATCTATGTCCTATGTCTATTTTCGGTTGTCAGCAAGACAAATTTGTATTAACCTTGTTATTACCTATGTGTTGATGTTCAATGTGATTTCTTAGACGTTAAGGAAGGACAAATAAGCTTGTTGATAAAACCAAGTCACTTTGTATTATGGAAATTATCATAAAACGTTCATTCGGCAGTAGTCGTAAGAAAAGGTTATTACATAGTTTTACGTCTTTTTCAATATTCAGTTAATTTTAGTGGTAACTGTTACTATTTTGAAGAAAATCACTATCTCAGTCTTGAACATATTCAATTTCCAACCAATTAACCACACATTTGCGCTCCACAACTACATTTACTTCGATTTCCACAATCGAATAATGTTACCGGTTCAAAGCTTAGTCCTCAGTCATTCAGTTTGTAAAGAACATTATATGTTTTTTTTATTGAATTTGCTAAGCTGTTTATTCTATCTTGTATTTGCTCTCATTTAGTTAACTATCTCTCCGTCTATCTATTTCTCTAGTTCGTGATGCATTTTGTTCACATTACACTATGGAATTAGCTACACGTTACTTGACTAAACAAATGTCTATTTTAAAGGTTAGTTAAATAAACCTGGCTTTATTTATTTACCACTTGTGTTCAACATTTACAAAAAATAGACTTTTAAACTAATTAGTTGGTTTATTACATAAGTTGATTAGATTATTGACGTTTATGTGCATATTTTGTCTAACTTAATGAATAATGACTTGACATTATCTTTCTCGACGGGACTTACTCATTTCTTTTTTATTTGACGAATAAATTTGCTGACTGATTTGTATATGTATGCATTCAGATGATTTGTACCGTTTTACAATGTTTTGATGACTGATATGACTGACGAAATTATTAAGCCTAATGCTCAGATCCTAATTGATTGGACCAACAAATTAATGACCTCCTTTGAAATATGAAATTTTTTCATGCTTGTTTCGTGCTAATATTTTGTACAAAAGCGTTTTATTTCATTACGGCTAGCGATTTTGTTTTTGATTTGAAATCGGTCATGGGTTTATGCCATTAATTCGTTTTTAGGAGTAACCATCACCCGATCACATCATATCAGTGCATTTGGTCTATCAATAAGCATTCTGCTCGTTGATTGTTGACAATAGAGGTTTTATTCATCTTCTATTTTGAAACAATCACATTTCCTTAATTACAATGGGCTACATCTATTACTATTATTATTGGCTTTATTCACTATTATATTTTTGGTACAATATGAAATTCTCAGCGCAAAGTATTTCATTAAGTTTCCTTTTCTTCTTTCTTGATCGACCCTTGCGATAAATACTGAGTGATCGCCAGTTAGATACTAGCAGTCCAGGAATCGACATCTGGATAATGTGTATTCTTTTTGTTGCATATTGCCAGAAACTGCGATGTATCTAATTGGGCCGTTTTGTAACTTGTACAGCGAAATGTTGTAAACTTTTCATAAACACACGTAAATAAGTTATGAGACTAACAGACATAATGGTGGGTTGAAACAAACAAGAAAACAGCTAACTTGTTGAAATATCCAGATGGTAGAAACAGGTAACCCAGATACTCAAGCAGGCTGCCTTGGTCCTATGTCGTTTTTTCCTTGATTCACTGATTTTTTAAAAACTAGTCTTGGTAATGCACAGCAATATACATTTTTATTGTAATGCTACATTGATGTATTGCTTTCTTCTAACTTGTTTTATTTATGAGGTGAAATAACGGTTTATATAATTTGGGACCGAGGAGTTAGCAGTTCTGAAGTTAGATATGAAGTAGTAGGTATAAGTATGACAAATCGATTGACGAGGCAACAGATCTTTATCGACTAATGTGGTTAGTACCATCCATCAGTTACCTATGCATTCAATGATGGTTGGTGGTAGGATAGGTTGGAATAAGGCTATAGGCGACCAAACCATACCAGTTCATGAAGACACTAACCGTACCACTTAATTAGTTGTAGACTGAGTGGTTATGATCTGCATCATTATCGTAACCAATGGTTAGTGGCTTTGGATGACATGGCTCTGAATCGTTCGCAACGGTGCAGGTATATCCATTCTTTGTCTTCCCTTTAATCAAAACTTTACGAATTACTTTATAAAAATATTTTTATTCCACTAATCGATATTTTCATATCAAATTGTATCTTGGATGTCCAGGCTTTTCTATCACTATTAATACCATTTCTACTTGTATTAGCGTGAGATTTGTTTTGACAATTTATCCCACTCTGCTAATGCGTTGTAGCAAGTTAAACTGATGTATATACACATGCCAGATTCTACGTCGGGTATGACCGATTGGGTTAGTGGTGTATACGTTTCTTGACATTTTTCTATTTTCCGGTAGTTAGTAATTTTCGTCCTTTGGATTATCTTCCAATTACTATAGGTTTTTTTCACCATAAATTGATTTCAACAAGATAATCATCAAATTGGTCTTGACTTTTGGTAACCTGCATAGTTCAAGAAGCTATAAAAATTAACAGATTGATTCAATCAATCATGTCTAGATATCTAAAATTATAGACATGATTCCATTCACATGAACACACTAGTTATTACAACTATATTGAAGTGAACACTTGTCATATATTAAATAGTTTAATTATTTCTCTTTCCCATTTATTTGATTTTTAGAGATTTCTAGTTTCTAGTTATGTTGTATTCCTATTGACAGTTATCATCGATTTTGCCGGATATCATGTATTAACCAGTGATTATAGTTTAGCATCATTTTACCATCGATCCACATACACTTTTGAATCGTTAATCAGAATTTTAGAAGTGAAGTAGTTACGATAGTTGACTTTCAGTCAGTCAATTGTAGGTCAAGTACACACAATCCCTACTTTGGTTCCAGGCACATGGATAGCCTTTACATTTACAACTGCGTAGCTGAAGTTGTAATCGATGACTGTGTGCGCGTGTTTACTGAGTTCGTTGGTTTTAGTTATGTTAGCTACGGTGTCATACTAATTGTTGGTATTTGCAAGGTCATTAACTGTAAGGATCTAAATTATCTTTTTGGTAATATTCAGAGCTGGATTTTTTCTAAAGATGAATTAAGTGAATCCAGAGAAGAAAAGTTTCTCAATGATTTCACCTACTTAATCTGTACAATCGTATTTATAGTTACTTTTATTTGCTAAAATAATGGAAATAGTAAAATAGAATAGTGTTGAATCAGATCATGAGCGGAAATTGTTCGTTGAATCACCCTCATTCTGCTTCAACGAAACAATGAGGTTCTTTCGTTATTTGAATTTTTTTGTCTTTGTTAGCGTGTGCGCCCTGTACGAATCATTTCAGTATAGGTACTTTTTCGTACATTTTTAAGGATAAATGAATTGTAGCTAATTCCGAACCCTAACTCAAACATGCTACCTGTCAACAATGTTAGTGCCTGTCTTGACTTAACGGTTCAGTAGATAACGCGTTACTGTATGAAGTGAAAGGTGCTAGGCTTGAATCCAAATGTAAACATTAACACTCTAATGCAGATAAATCCAGCAGACGTATCCTAAATAGTACAAAACGAGCGTCGTCACTTTCACTCTTAGTCAACAATTCGTCTATTTTAAGAATATTTTGAAAAATGTCTGAAATTTAATTCGTGTTTATCTTAATTTTTAACTTGTTTTTATTTATAGCAACGTGAAATAAGTTTATCAAGTATCCGAAGTCTAGTTGTTGTAGCTGAAGAACGTCCTCGGATTCATTTGACTTCCATGTTCACTAAGTTGTTTTCTAGTCTGGGTTTAACAGGACGTGCTGTAAGCACTTCATTCGGTTGTCGAGTTAATTTAGCAATTTCTTTACAGGTATGTTTATATATGCATCTTTTAAATGTAGATTATAATTTTCCTTGCATGAAGATAGTAGTACCATGTAATCTTGATTTTTTAAATGTTATTTCTTGATTGGTTGACTTTGATTATTACTAGCAACTATATTCAACGACCGATTTATGTTGAGTTCTCGAACCATAGACCCAATGTTTATCTGTTTATATTATACTACTATTGTTTCTACTCATTCACTATTTATGTGTCTCGCTATGATAATGTGATATGGCGATTCGATCTGATGCACAGTTTTACGAGATTCTACTTTAGCATTGAGTGTTTCCTTTTGTGATATGAATGTGAATGGCGTTGTAATAATGTAGTGGGTGCTACTCACAGAATTGTTTGTAAGTAGCGTGTAGCGGAACGTGATGTCAAAGTTGCTACAATTATCAGACAAAGTGAAGAGTTTCAATGTATGGAAAGCACGACGTTAGCATAACACTGTGAGGACCAGACAAGAGTGAAATTCAAATGACAGAACACACCGAAAGTTAAAAATGATAGATTAAAGTCTATGTACGATGTACTATATAAATACTTAGTAACTTCTAACAATAAATACATTCCTCCTCCCTATTATTGTGTTTTACATTAATAACTGCTTTACTAACCTCAGTTTGTGAATTGCTTTTTCATTATACCTCAGATAACTAATTGGTTATACTTTCAAGTGTACTGAATTTACTAAACATTAATCTACAAAATTGATTTATATCCATTATATTAGACTATAAATTAAGAGATAATGAAACACCCGTTTAATATTACAATTAAGAGAAAGAAGACTTTTTTTTTCCAATAATTTCGTCTGAATTATCTGGTTTAAATGTCTAATCTATTTAATTATTTATAAACAAAATAATCACGTAAAATACATTCTCGTAATAATAGTTATAATGAATAATATTGTAATAAATTCTTTTTAGTTTACATTTTAATTGTATAATATCGTATGATATATATATGGTTTGTTTTACTTGTTCGACATTGAATAGTATAAGGTGATAGTATATTGGAAAGATTTTCTACTTTCATTTTTACTTCATAGAATTTCATTCACTTCTAATCTTATCATCTCAGTGGATAGAAAAAAAGTAGATGGATTATAATTGTGATTATATAATGAGTAGTAGTGACTGCTCGCTTATTAGATTTCAGATATATATATATATATATATATATATATATATATATATCTTTTATTGTATTTATCATAAATTCAAGAAGTTTACAAATAGTCCTAGTAACTACTTTCATAATTCTGTCAAACACACGATAGTCATTTCATAAATGTATATAGAAAATAATGTATAATCTAACACAACTTATTATGGGACCATATTATCACACGGGAATACAGCTACCTCGGTTTGGGCACCTAAACAGTATCACAGCCCTCACACAAATCTATTGAGATTTGTGTGGCGCATATGTATCTAGTGCCCCCTTGTACCAATATCTATTTGTTCAAATAAATAAATAAAATAAAATAAAGAAATACTGTTTTCAAAGAGTGGGTTTAGTATATATATCACTTGAAATATCAAACTATGGATTAACTTTTCTCTCGATTATCAATGTTTGTTTTCTCTCACCTACTATTCAAACTAGGGTGCTAGTTCACCGGAAAGCACAACTGTTTATGTAGATCGTGTCAGCTTACGAAATGATCGTGTTAAATTACTAGAAAAAGGATCACCACATAGTATGTGTCTTATGGAATCTGGAAAAGTAAGTGTATAATATTTTTAACTTTATCAACTTGGAAATGAGGAAATGTCTATCAGTGTTATTTTATGGTCCTTGTACTACATTGTTTGTAGTTTAAAGCTGGTGAATATAGATGATTAGATATGCTCGAGTAATACTCAGTTGAACCTAAAGAGTTTGGGTTAATTGTTTAGTCTTGAGTAGCACTGCTGAAATTTATGTAACTATGACGTAAAATATGTAAACATTTCTTCCCCTTATCCTTATTTTCTGCCTGATGCTGAAAAAAAGTATCGTCAAGGTAAATGAATCTCTACGAGCATCTATTCAAATCTCCTGACTCCTTATCTTAATTACAAAGATCTGAAAGTTTGTGTGGAAGGGTTTTGTAGAGCTATGACTCAGTAGTTGAGGGATTTACTTTTCATCTACTAAGTTTGAGGTCCAAATCATGCTCCAGCCATTAGCCTTCAGACGTTTATTTTGACTGAAAGTTAAGTATACATTTTCATATCCGATAGATGTATTAAATTAATCAATTAAATGATTTTTCATCGTATACTGTATGCCAAAAGTTCAGATACCTGAATCATGCCTACATTTTTGACCAGATATTTTGTGTATAGCGTTTTTCTAATATCAAATAATAACAAAATCCGATATAAACTGTTTCTATTTCTTTTTTCAATGATTTGATTTCAGTTATTACCTGGTGTACATGTAGTAATAGCCAATCCTGATACACTAGGTCAGTGTGCTGATTCACAATTAGGCGAAATATGGGTATCATCTCCCCACAATTCTACTGAACTATTAGGTCCATTCGACAGTGCTAGTTTAAATCGTCCTACTGGTGTCGCTTCACAACCTGTACCAGGAATAAATGCTGGTGATTCTTTACATGCTCGTTTAGTTACTGGTGATACTGAAAGAGTTTATGCACGTACTGGATTTTTAGGTTTTGTTCGACGGACCGAATTAACTCAATCTGATGGAGGTAATGTGTCAGTTTAATTTCTGTTAAATATTTTTACTTGTTAGTACCTTTTATTTTCTGATAATAAATTTTCCCGGAAACCCGCTTTTCAACTAAACTATTTATCAACAATTTCGACTGTTTTTTTGACCTAATGATAAGTTTGAACGCCTACCAACAAATACTTATTTTAGGTATTTCATTCTGTCTTGTCTCATATCGTTTGTTCAACTTTATGTTTCTGGTATTTTGAGTTGAGTGTAGTTTAATTTGACAATATCCCTAAAACAACCGATTGCTTAAAAGTGAGTGAATAAACCTTGGGCTATATAGATAGAAATTTAAAACAAACATAGGTTATAGTTTCATGTTTTGGAATATAAACAACTGTTTTACATTCGTAGTCCAATTTCAAGGTTATTGTAAGAAAGTATGAATGATATTTCTGACATAACTTAATAAATGCCAAATCATTTGTTTTAACCATGATCTATGAAGTGTTGGTTTGCTGAGCTAACATTCAACAATTAGTCTCAGTCAATCTTCTAACAACCATCATAACTAGATGATAAAATGAATAAATTTTTGTTAAACTAATGGAATTCACCGTTAATAATAATTCCAATGCCCAGTACATTCTGCATTCTATAACTGTCTACTAATAAATACTTTTTCTAATTTGTATAATAGTGTATCTTAATTTATAGTAAAAGCTGATTGTCGTAAATGGTAGTCAATACAAGTATGAACATGAACGTCTGACATTTACTATTTTTAGAGAGAAAGTTTGTTTCATTGTCATCATAGCTGTACATAAAACATGAAAACAGTTAAAATGTTTATGGTAAAGTTCTACATTTTAATTCGAATGCATTAGTGGGACTAGATTGACCTTATATATATATATATATATATATATATATATATATATATATATATATATATATATGACCATTTGTTTTCCAACTGTATGGTCATTCTGCATAAACTACATACCTATTTACTTACATTTTATTTCATACCAGAACTACATGATGCCATATTTGTCGTAGGCAGTTTAGAGGAAACCATTTTACTACGTGGAATGCGCTTTCATCCAATCGATATTGAGAATACTGTGATGCGTTCACACAAGAAAATATGTGAATGGTAAGTTGTTTTCCTTTTTTCTACATTAATAAATATTCTGTAATACCAGCATTTTTCATTGGAAAGATTTATACTTCTTATAGTTAATTACTACTGACGATACTAATTTTGCTTTATAAAACTATTATTCATTTATTTTATTTGAACACATGAATATTGGTACAAGAGAGCGCCAATATATATGCGCCACACAAAACAATGAGAATTCGAAGAGAAATAGAGAAAAAAAAGCTAAGGAGCACAAAAGAGCGGACAATAACGAGGAGATTGGTGTAAGGTAGTATGGTAGAAATGAGGGAACGGAAAGGTACAATCAGAAGAAATCTTCCAGGTAAGGAAGACACAACCACTTTTTATGAAGAAAGTAAAAGAAGGTTACAGCAGGATCGCCACTGGCTTCTATTCTGAGCCATATCTGATAGCGTCTCTAGCCACTGTGTTGCACCATCTCTCGGACCCCAACCAGGGAGTCGTGAAGGACCAACACAAGCCAGCCCTTTGTAGATCTCTTTCATACCACGACACCATGTCATACACTGACCACCTCTCCGCTTTTTCCAACCAGTCCCAGAGTCGGCAAATAATGCACGACGTGGAATTCTTTGGGACGACATTCGGAGAACATGTCCAAGCCACCGAATTCGGTGTTTCAAGATGGTGACACCAATTGAATTATCATCTCTGTGCCCGAACACACGATGCCGAACCTCTGCATTACTGACATGGTGTTGCCACTGGATGTCAGCAATCCTTCGGAGACAGCGATGATCGAACACAGAGAGTCGTCTAACGTCCTCAACTCGGAGAGACCAGGTTTCACAAGCATAGAGCAAAACTGCTCTCACCGAGGCGTTGTAGATCCGGCCTTTTACAACCAGACTAACATCACGAAGGCGCCAAAGGTGGCCCAGATTGGCATAAGCCGCTCTGGCTTTCACTATTCGTGCATTGATCTCATCACTCACACCCCCACCAGCACTTATGCAGTTACTCAGATACACGAACTTCTCGACTATGTCTATCTGCTCACCATCCAGGGTGAGTACAGGATTGGAATCCTGCCAGTCTTGTAGAAGTACAATCCCAGAGAACAGTCCTATCCAACGAATCGAAGGCAGCCTTGATGTCAAGAAACACTACGATTGTTGGCCTTTGAAAAGTATGGCGGTGTTCTAACATTTGGCGGAGGGTGAAGATATGATCAATACATCCTCGACCAGAACGAAACCCAGCCTGCTCCTCGCGAGTCAATCTTTCTCGGGTTTTGAACAACCTACGAAGAATGACGGAAGCCAATAGCTTGGACGCAATCGGAAGTAAACTTATCCCCCGATAGTTGTTACAAGAACGACGTGAACCCTTTTTAAAGATAGGGACAACTATCGACTCATTCCATGACGTTGGTACACTCTCTAGTTCCCAAACCTTTGTAAACAACGTCGTCAATTCCTTAGTCAAAAAGTCACCACCATCTTTAAAAAGAGCCGGAGGTAAGTCATCTGGGCCAGGTGATTTGTAACGCTTCAAGAGTTGGAGTTCCTTGCGGACTTCCTCCTCATTTGGTGGATCAGTCGTCACCGGCCATGGAGGGCAGGACAGTCTGACCGATGTTGCCGGAGCAGCAGGCCAGTTGGACTGCCCTTCGAAAAATCCTGCCCATCGTCCAAGACGTCGATGGATGTTAGTGATTGGCATCCCATCATCCTCGCAGATTGTTTCACTCACACCAGACTTCTTGCTGCCAGTGGCTCGGATGAGTTGGAAGAGCTTCCGGAAGTTACCAGATGCAGCTGTTGCTTCCAGCTCATTAGCACGCTTCGACCACCAGGTTTCTCGGTCCTTACACAAGCTTTGCCCCATTTCCATACGTAACATCCTTCGTTTATGGTCAAACTCACGGTCACTCGGAGTAGACCGACGGGCTTCAATGAGTTGTAAAGAACCAGAAGAAACCCAGTGCTTGCAAGCGGGACGTTTCGCGAACCCACAACTGACTGTACCCGCCATTTTCATGGCGTCACGCAATTGCAACCAATGCTCATCTATACTTTTCGGTGGAATGGTAGCTAGCCTAGAGGCTAGCTCGGTTCGATACTTACTTGCAACAGAATTTGCAACCAGCTTGCTGATATCAATCCGTTGGTGGCGGTCACTTCGTTGTCCACTGAAAAGTAAGGTAAGATTGGCGCAGACCAAGGCATGGTCAGAGTCCAGATAGGTACTCCGAAAGGAGCGGCAGTCTTGTACACAACCACGCCAGCGGTAGCTGATCGCGATGTGATCAATCTGAGTCCAGTCTTGAGATGCAGAGGGAGGACGCCAGGTGGCAGGACGGCGATGACTGTGCCGAAAATTAGCGCTAGCCAGAAACAAGTTGTGGTCTGTGCACAGTTGCAGTAGACGGTTACCGTTATCTATCCTGCCACCAACGAGTCCCCATCGGCCACCTCAAGGACTCTCTTCTGTGCCTAGACGCCCGACCTGAGCATTCAAGTCTTCGGCTAGTACTACAATATCTGTCGAACGCACTTTCTGGAGAAGAACAGATAACTGGTGGTCGAATTCATCCTTGATTGCATCCGGGCTGTAATCTGTCGGGGTATAGGCGGAGATGACGAAAAGACATTGTTTCGTACACCGATTTCTTCTCACTTTGATGGAACTTTCTAATCTAACAGCACATAACCGACTGTTAATGGGGATCCAATCGACTAGTGCTACCTCAGCTCTAGCGCTTAGTGCGACAACCATCGCCAGCAAGACTAGACAAAGATGCCACAGGGTCCCCGGATAAGCGCACGTAAAACAAGCTTTTTGAAGTGACAGATGGAGAGCGAATTTGTAGTACTTCACTAGAGTCTTGAATATGGGTCTCGGATGGACAGCATACATCGATATTAAGACTTTCCAAAGATATAGCCAGCCCTATCTGTTGTCCGACCTGCATAAATGTGCGAACGTTGAAGGCAGCCAGTTTGAATGATGCACGTGGTTTCAGAAAAACTACTTCAGTGCTCGTACTTGGTGGTAGCATACAATTTCCAACCAAGGAGTGACACGAGAACGTTTAGATAGAGCCGAATTTCCACCATAGGCGAGCCGCTGTATAAGTATAAAAGAGGGTGAATAATGTGGAAAATAATAATAATAATAATAATAATAATAATAATAATAATAATAATAATAATAATAATAATAATGACAATAATAGTAATAATAATAATAATAGTATTAATAATGACAATAATTGTAATGATAATAATTTGAATCAATTGATTGTTTTTCGAAGCGAGAAAAGTGATTTTCATAGACATAAAGAGTTCATCATTTGTGTGTGGGCTGTGATACTGCCCGGGTGCCCAAACCGAAGCAGGTGGTTTTATTAGGGGGCCACTCCCCGAGCCTTTGACCTAAAGGTCTAACCCACAAGGCAGTGGAGAATCGTATGGAGATGCAATCGCATGGTAGCCGGTGACCAACGAGTGGTTCATACGCCATTTGTTCCCACAGGATACTGGAGCCCATGTGCACCATTGGTTTGTGATCCGGTTAAAGTGCCGGACATTCGCCTTTCGTCCTCTCATTTTCGTAATCAACACCCCTGCTATGAGAAGGCAGTGAGTAGGACTTCCCTTGCAGAGGCTGTGTACGCGCGGCCGTGTGAGAGTATTTGGAGAGGGAGAGCGGACTGTCCCCACTCTCGGCTGTACCAGGGCATTAGGGGGCATTATCAACCCAATTTACATAGTTTGATAAAACTTATATTACTTTCTCTGATGCTTAAATATTACTCATCCGTTCAATTTCACTATATCCCAAGCATGTTTGTTATGGGGTTCTCTCTTTCCAAACGTAAAATGTTGCCTCAGGATTGGCTTGCGTCAGCGCCTGGATTAATGACGGAGTGAAGTAGTCGAACGTATCGATTGCTTCATTTGTCTCGGAATTCTCATCAGTGTTGATGGTCTAGTGTCTGACGAAATCTCAGCACGGATTTTGAAACCACTGAGTAAGCAATGCCTGGGTTATTAATAGGGTACTAAGTGTGGGTGATGAGGTAGTAAATATCTATCGACTGAGGTGGTTAGGACATGTACTACGTATGCCTAATCTACAACTACCTCGTCGTTAGTTCATGAATTCACTGACAAGTGACTAAGCCATGGTAATAGGTGTATATTACCTGGTAGTGGTCCGCGGGGTTATCGTAACCTGCTATTAGACTTTGATTGACGGCTCGAAATCGTTTGCAATGATTGAAGTGCATCTATTCTTTGTCTTCTCTCAAGTTCTGAATTTCTCGTGACTTTTTTGTCTTTGTTTCACTAATTTATATTTTCTTTTCTCAAATTATATCTTCGATGCCTAATCTTCCCTATTACCACTAATACTGTTACTATCTCTAATATTCTGGGATTATTGGGTCTGACAACTTTATCTCCCTTTGCTTTTGGGGCATGGGAACTTGAATCGATATACATACGTACGGGTTCTACGTTGTAACTGACTGCTCAAGTTGCTTTGCTTGACAAACCAATGTTCTGATCATGTTTGAAAACTACATGTTATTGGCAAATGATTTAGCCTTTTTTCCGAAATTGCCGTCAAGTAATCGACTAAATATCTATACTTTGAAAACAATAAAATGATTTGAAATTAAAAAATTTCTAACTTAAGTTAGATTGGAAGAACAGTTATTTAGTATGATAAAATATTTATCATTTGGGTTACCTGGACTGAATATTAGCATATGCAACTACAAACTAATTCTGGTATGTCACGAAAGGCAACTCTTCACATTAAATATAATTTTCATACTAACATTTTGTAGTTGAATTCACGAATCGATCTACCATTGAAAACCTGGAAGTACTGGACATCGGTTTGCATGCGAGACCGAAGGTCCTTGGTTAGAGTTCTGCGTTTGGGAACATGGATGCTCACCGCTGAGGAGTCACACACTATGACGAAACGGCCGTCTAGCGCTTCCAGGTTTGCAATGGTGATCTAGCTTAGATTGACTCGTAAGTTCAACTGTTAAAATACTACAATCTCCACAAATCCCCATACTGATAACAATTAATAATTAGCTTTACTTATAGTTTCTTGTTTAGATGCCCACTCCGCTTCCGACGCGCTACCTGATTTAATTATCTTTGGATTTGTGCATAGATACAGTGATACTGTGTTTAAACTTATTATCTTTCTACGCGAGATAATCTTGTATTAAGTACTTCATTATTGTGTCCTCCATACAAAATTAAATAGTTAACATATTCTTTATATTCATCAATTAGTATCATTTTCTTTTGAATTTTTCACTAAATTCTTACTTATTTTCGTTTGATCGTTTTTTTTTAAAACAACAACAAAGTTTTTCAATTCCTTTTTATATCTCATTTTTTAGTGCTGTATTTAGTTGGTCGAATTTATTGGTTGTAGTCGCTGAACTAGCTGGTGAAGAGAACGAAGCAATGGATCTTGTTCATCCAATCACAGCACATGTATTAACTGAACATCAAATGATTGTTGGTGTTGTTGTAATAGTAGATCCTAGAACAGTACCAATTAATCCATCTGGTGAAAAACAACGAATTCTATTAAGAGATAGTTTTGTTAATGACAAACTGGATCCAATCTATGTTTCGTACAATATGTAAATTGTAAAATCGAACATTGTTTATTCATAAATAACCTATGTGTATGTTGGTGTGTTTATTTGCTTTCTATATGGCAATATTCGTCGCTTTTGATCTGTTTTTTTTAAGGTTAGGGTCAACTTTTTGTTGTTTATCTTCTTTTTTTTAAAAAAAAATACTTCAGTTCCAATGTTACTGTTCCATGTAATAATTCTTTTGATAATTTCTATATATCAGTAACAACATACCATGCCATTCATTACTCTTTTTTGTTTGCCATTTCTTTGAAAATTAATTAGGATGTAATAACAGTAATTAATATTATTTATTATTATTAATAAATAAAGACCATTAGTTGTCTATTTTTAAATGAAGTGATTCTGTTTCAGAACAACATTTGTTAATTATAGGATTCGCTTTCTTTTTTTAAAGAAAAAAGAAACACAACAGAACGCTCTCTATTTTCCCCTGACTGTACCGTTGATACAATTCTAGTATTACTTGTTACTTATTTCAATTTTCTAATTGGTTACTGCTGCTTTAAGTAATAAATCAGTCTATTAACCATCATCGTCTACACCTATTTAAGTCATATATAAACCGATTTGCATATTTGTAAAACAAGGATATTTCACTATTGTTTATTCGATCATTTTGTTTTCATTGTTAATTTCGTGTAGCCTTCCTTTTTTGGAATGTATACTATTTAAGAAATTTACCATTTCACTGAAGCATTTTCCCTGTGTATAATATTTAAAAAATTCGAGTGTTGACCTGCTCCCCGCTTTTTCCTGTTTCTTGATTACTGTTCTGTCAGTTTAATACATATTATTATTATTATTTCTTCAATTGATTTTATTTATTTCTGTAACCGGTGCTTCTGGTTTTCCTTCCCCCTTTTATATCTCGTATTATCTTTTAATTGAATACATTTTCAGCTTGACTATTTAAAAGCATCATATTCTACTGTGTGACTTCATATTGTGCATACGTCTAATTATGGACATCCAATCACCCCTGATCTGATTGTATGCCCAGTAGTCATATAACTGGTATATATATATATATATATATATATATATATATATATATATATATATATATATATATATATATATATATATATATATATATATATATATATAGGTTAGTTAATACTTTTTCATTTTCTTTCCCATTCTAGATTTTTCCTTGACATCACTTTGTGTGAATAGGGAAGTGGTTCTCTCCTCTTCTGAATCCATTCTGTTTCTAATTTTCTATACTGCTGCGTTTTACCCCATCATCTTTCATTACCAATTCAAACAATCCAAACTATTTCATCATAATCGAATAATAAATAATATTTGCAATACTTAATTTCTTTCATTCTTCTTTTTTTTAAAGTCCTTTCGTTTGTTTCTATTGTCGTTGTGTTTTTCCAAACTTTTCGTTATTCTTCTTCCTTTTTCACCACATGGTATACTTAAAAGTGATTTAGTTAAGATATTTTTTTTGTATAATCTATGTAAAACATATGGATTAGATGAAAGTCATTTACGCAATATACACAGTGTAGTAGCCGAATTGGTTACTTAATTGACCGAATAACTGATTCATTTTCACTTAAAGATAGACAAATATATATAAAATCAATATATGAATGGTTTTCATCTAGTTTCTTTTAACTTTTCTATATTTACATGTACAAGATATTGTTTTACAAATTCATTATTCCTGTTGGTCTTAAAGAAAATAACAATGATTTTATTGTTTGTGGTATTTATTCTCGTTATACTTTAGAAATGATTTGATTTCGTAAGAGTGTATGCCCATTATCGAATGAATTATTATCATTGCATAGTCGTAGTTTTCTATTTGACCACGTCATTAAATTATTTATGTATCTGATTGATTGTAGCTCTCACTATGCTGCTTTACATTGCATAATCGAGTCTTTGTTAAACGGCCATGTTGGGTGTACATACGTATGTCGCTTTTGTGTTATTGATGAGCCTGAAGTGAAAGTTCACTTTCCATTCGTACTCTCAAATTGTTCATCTTTAAGTAAACTGTTTGGCATTCAAAATAAACTACTTCAGTGAGAAAATGACAAGTTTATCTGCGTTTATCGTACTAAGCTTAGAATCAAAAAGAAGTGACACTAATTTTAAATCAGTATTACCATTAGTATTTGGTGTAAATATGTTTGGAAAATGCGAATTTTGTCATTTTTAAAGTCTGAGGCATTCAGTGAGTTCCTCAAATATAATAATCGATTCAAAAAAGCAATCAACAGTAAACCTTAAGTTTTCTCCCCATCAATTGTATAATACTGTTTTTACCCAATATTTAACAACACTAAAATGATTTTCTGCTCCGAATTTGACATTATCCTTTATCACTAAAGGTATCTAGATTGTCACCTGAAACATCTTCCTAATGAGAGCAATTTATTATTGTGTTTTGGAAAGTGGAATTCATTGAGATTTTTCATGACTGTTGTAACGTGTGGGTGACTGCAGGGTTTGGATATGCAGCGTTTTATTGATCGGTTCGGTGACAGTGACACGGAAAACACGTACGGACGACCTAGTGCCCTGATTGGCCCTGCTTCGCTGTCTGTCCCAGCCAGTTGAGTCAAGAACACAAGTCACAGCCTCTGGGTTATGAATCATTATATTTCAAACATACTTTGTTTATATACCAACCAAGCATACCACATCGTACCATAAAATAGGAAACAACATTTACAAAATATTTAACAAGTGAAATGAACATCGACCAATAAGAAATGTACATTTAAAGTCCAAGGACACCATTGGACTTAACATGATAATTATTGGTCTCTTTTTCCGACTATCCTAACAATGACGTTCACTTATTAGAACGAAATTATGTTATTCGGTGCAAAAGCTCGCATGTAGCACAAAGTGACTGTCGGACTTCAAGATTTTTACCTATTTTAATCACCAATAGATAGTTCTTTTAACACTAAAGTATCAGCTAGTTCACTATCATGTTGCGGATTAACCACTTGCATTTAACAGTTAGATAAATATTGTGTTTTGTCATCCTATTCCATGTTCTTGTTTATTACCACAACTCGAATATCGTAACTATGTAATCGATTGATTGTCAGTGCTCTTTACATTCATGCATATGGTCTTAAGTAAATTGAAAATTCACTAGACTTAAAACCTGTTGTCTAATAATTGAAAATGAAATATATTGCTTGTTCTGGACGCTACAGATTGTGAACGTAACGCATGATAACTTGATTGATCATTAGTCAAGTTGTGTATAAAATATTTGGTCATCATTTTCATTCACCACTGATGATCATGAAACGTTTTACTAGTGTCGTTCTGTTTATAAATTGAACTTAATATACATCAAGCATTCGTTAACAAAATACTTTTACATGAATAGTAGTATGTAGAATCCATTGTTTTCAATCACTTAATTTAAAAACATTGATGACCACGATCACTCTATTCAATCTGTGTTAAAAATAATTTATTACTTAAGATTCACTGTTTAGAATGTATTATTTCCCAAAAGAATTCTATTCAAATCAGACAATGATGGATTTTTCTAATAATTACCATCCTTTCATTTTCAAACGGACATACTATCGAATTACGCGCCAAAAAAACACATTGACAACGACTGATTCATAAATATACCCTAAATGATTCATATATTACTACCGTTGAAGTAACTGCTTCTATGAATTTGGTATTCATCATGTTGTGCTAATAAGTTATAGCAACTTGGACCGATGCATTTATGTGCCTTGTCTTACGTTTTAAGTGACTGAATCTCTTCAGTGAATCAGAAATACTTATATTTTGATATTACCGGTATATGCAACTTGTATTCAGATGATTTCCCTAACAAATATTCACTGATTTATTCTCAACCAACGGTAACTGCAGATAATCTGGTTTAACTTGCTTATTCTACTTATTCGGAAATAATCTTACAGTCAAAACTTTTTTATTAGAAACTCAAACATAACTGCTTAGTTTCATTGACCACTAAATATAGAAAGAAAAATATATAACCCGTTAGATGCTGACTCGTTTCGAAACGGAAAGTTCCAAGTTCTATCTCGAGTAGAGTCATCAATCCAGACTGCTAAAGGATCCCACTTAGGATGAAACAGCTGTTTAGTGCATCCTACATTTCAATAGTTATCTAATCAACTGGAGTCCGTGATGTAAACTATCAAACTTACTATTCACCCCAAACCCTTTGTACTCATAAAAAATTGTTTATTGACAGTAACCAAACAGCATCAATGTCTTTTAGAAATGTTACACTTTGACAATTGTTCTAGAAACCAGGACTCTGTAACTCATATCCTCTGATACTGTTTAAAATAATTTCTTGTTTGAATAAAGTAAGGGCAGAATAATATAAATAAATATATTTCGTCAATTCTCTTTAGACGCTTACAACCATATTTGTACTAAAGTGTAATATTGAGTATAATATGATACGAATTAATAGATATTAATGACAGGAAGAACAACAATGTAAATTCATTTTGTATTGTTTGTTTGAATTTTCCCATTGATGTTCGGGACTGAAATTGATCAGTCTCTTATTCGCATATATAGATCCTGTGCAGATTACCTCAACTTTGCCTTAAGTCACAAGCATTGTAAGCAAAGACGGATGGTGGCTAACAGTGGAATCATGGATGTATGTTCCGTTTTAACACAAAGGGAGTGAGGCAATAATTAAGTGGAATTTGACAAGACGAATTGTGTAATAATTATAATGAAGTTGAAGAATTTATATAAGCTTTAAGGACTAAGCGAGTGAAAACACTGAAAAATGGAAAGTTAGGTTCAATATCGATCAAATAATATTAGTTTTAGGAAAAATTGAATAACAATAAAAATAGTTAAATGTAGCTTTGATAAAAAATATGGATTTACCTAGGCAATAATAAATTAACAACATTTTTCTTTCTGGACACATAAGTTTTGTATGAGTTTCTGCTTTAACGAAATGAAGGGAAGCTGGGTTGGTTTGTTGATCATTTTGAAGAATAGATGAACGTTAATAATATACTCGCTGTCAACTATTACAGTATTTAAAGCAACTCCACCTTATAGTCTCAAATTCTTTGAAACATCTAAACATATTTGTTACAATTTTTGTTATATCTATGTCCTAGAATGAATCAAGGTTTTTTTATTTACTATTTTTAGATAGTATTTATATAAAATCAAATAACATGTGTTTAAATCATGCAACGAAGTTAAACTGTGATGTGAATTTTATGTGTTTAAATGTACTGATGACATGTTATGTAACCTCCAAATACTATTTATAATTTAAGTTGCGTAGCTTTGTTGTACCTATTGACTAGATTGTTTGTATAGAGAAGTGAAATAGATTATATTTGATACAGTTGAACTTCACTAGTCATGGCTTCTCACTAGAACTCTGAAAATTACATTCGAGAGGTATTTATCAAAGTTCTAGTAAGAAACCATGACCACTGGAGTTCAACCATGCTAGGTCTGTGGCAGTTACTCACTATAGATGATATTTTCTCAGAGAAAAGTTTATGTTGACGAAGATAATTTGATTTACTTTTTCATCGCCTGCTGTATTTCTTAATACTGAGTTATGTTAGATAGAAATGAGTGAATATATTAACAGTTTGCTTGAGTTAGTTAATTTAAGAATTTATCTTTGATTCAATATACATTTCAACAGATTATCCACTAATGGGTAAATAACACAAGCTACTATGATCTTCATCTATTTAGGTCATTCAATAAACAACATTGTCCAATTAGCAAGTCACTCAAAAGTATCACGAACAACTTATTATTTACGTAAATATAAACAAATATTTTATGTCCAATTATTAATCGAATATTTTATTCGCTTTTTTTTAAATTTCAAAAAAAAAGAATTTCTACTCCCATCATATACAGAGATATTCATATAATAACAATAGTATGTAACCATGGTTTCAGTCGATTGACCTTCGAGTAACATCGGTAAATTTTCTGTAAATAATAGAAGGAAAGTATAAATTGAATTGTTCATTCGAATTTCAATTAAATACGTTTATATGAAAGTATACTGTATTATATATATATATATATATATATATATATATATATAATACATGAAATATAATAATATTTAACTTTTCACAGTCATATTATTCACTTCATCTTTCATTAGGCATAGTTTGCATTTTCATTTAAGATTCTTACATACTACTAGTGGTGTTACAAATTAAAACAAAAAAGTTGTCTCATTAACTACTGGCCTAATTGTTGTTACATAGTCAAGTAAACGTATGTAATTTGCCAAACATGATTAGATTGTTATTTTACTTACATTTAATAGTAAATGTCTATCCAAACCATACTTACATTCATAATAATAGCAGATATGGTGTAATCGACCAGCATATAAATCACACTACTAATGACAATGATAATGATCATCATGATGATGATGATTTATTATGGTTACAATGGAAAAGTTTACATCATAAAAATTATTCTACTCATAAAGAATATAATGAACATCGTGAAAATTGGTTGTATAATTTACATTCTATGAAACAGCATAATCTAATGTATGATAAAGGTTTAGTATTATATACAATAGGATTAAATCAATTCTCTGATTTAAATTGGAGTCATATAAGTACAATATATTTAACAAATTTAAGTCAATATTTAAATAAACATAAACAAAAAAGTCAAATGTTATTGAAACAATCTTTAAATGAAACAATATTAAAGGAAATACCAGATTCATGGGATTGGAGAAAAGTAGGTGCTGTAAGTAAAGTTAAAATACAGGTAAGGTTTCTTTTATATGGATTGTTACTGAATTTAATATTGAATGTATATTCAATTTTTATCTACTGTTAAATTTATAATTCTGAAATTACTCATAATACTATGAAAGTCATGACCAATGGAGTTCAATCTATGTCGGGTGTGAGACAGTTATCCACTTTAGAAAATGGATAAAGAGTTGTGCAAAATCATGGATTGATTGAAACTAGATATTCACACCGTTGGATGCTGTCTCAATGGTCTAGAAGTTAAGATTTTGAGTGTAAGACCAAAGGTCCTGGGTGTGGAATCATGGATGCTCACTGCTGAGGAGTCTCATACTAAGACGAAACGATCGTCTAGTGTTTCCAGATTTTTCAGTGGTGATCTAGCTTGGATCGACTCGTGAATTTAACTGTTAAAATAATGTAATCTCTATAAATCCACATACCGATAATAAATAATTACACTGATGTTTCGTCCTGTTACGTAACAAGAATGTTTATCGAACAGAATTTAATTAAATGAAACAAGAACAAATATTGATGCAGAATAGTATGAATTCATAATATTTCGAGGTTTCTCGTCAGCTGCTTACAGTCAAATAATTCATAAATCCGGTTTAAGTTTTTTATCGCGATTGCTTCAGCGAAACGGAGAGCAGTCGTAGTTCTTTGTCTGTTGATAATTTTAAAAGCGTGCGGGATGTCGATGGTATGCCCAGTGTCAAGTAAATGCTAGGCTATTGCACTGTTGAGAGTCCTAGTCCTTCGCAGCCTCAAGTTCTTTGGAACATGCTCAGAAATGCGAACATGCACTCTTCTCTCAGTTCTTCCAATGTATGTGCTTTGGCACGTACATGTGAATTGGTAAATGCAGTTGGAGAATTTAATTAACAAAGAATTATTTTTTAAAACTGGGCATAATTTTAAAATTAAAATCAAATTTTACATTGAAAAAAAAGAGCTAATGGAAGGCAACTGTAATGATCCTAGAAGTGTTTCACCTTGAAGAATATTCATTTAAGAAGGAATATTCAAATAATATATCAAGGTGATAACTAGTTAAAACTGACATTTACAATTAGAATTTACTAATGAAAAAAACAATTTCCAACAAAATATTTATTTATTTTTGTAATTTATACCTCATAGATTGTGATTAAATTATTTCAGAAGGGGTTTTAATAATTTTATAGTCGAATTCATGAATCAATTGAAGCTAGATCACCATAGAAAACCTGGAAGCACTGCACGGCCGTTTTGTCCTAGCATTGGGTCGGACCGTGGATATTCACTGTTGAGGAGTCCCATACTATGACGAAACAACCTTCCAGTGGTTCCAAGTTTATCGTGATGGTTTAGCTGCAATGGACTCATGAATTCAACTATGAATTATTTCAATCAATAACATAAAATGGAAAATAACTTTAGAATCGAAATGTGATTATGTAATGAAAATAATCCTGAAAATGTGGAAATACATTTTTCTTCAAACTGATATGATTTGTAAAACTGTTAAACAACCTTTTTTGCATTTTATTTGATTGCATTAAAACAAGTATTTTATATATTTTGTTATATCCCAATGAGTAGAGAAATTGTACTTCTAACGTTTCGGAACTTCACGTAAGCCACTTCTTCAGAGTAAGTAAATCACGGAAATTAAATTAACCCCATTACTTTATATTACAAATGCATACGCTTTTAATACGCATATTCTGACACACAAATTAACACAGTGACAAGTCATAAAAATTCATCTTGACTAAGAATAAGTTGACATTAACATACATGCATACTTACTTACGCACGTTACCCCCAATGAAGCATAGGCCACCGACCAGCCTTCTCCAACCCACTCTGTCCTGCGATTTCCTTTCTAGTTCTAAGAATAAGTTGGAATTAACATATTCAGACCTATTATGACTTTGATTGTAACAAGAATATTCTGTATTGTTTCATATGTACTATTTAAACTTATGTTAATTTAATTCAGTTATTTGTTTACTCTGAAGAAGTGGTTTACATTAGGTCACGAAACGTCAGAAGCACAATTCTCCTACACATTGGAATATAACAACAAAAAAAGTTTATTATTAACTCTCTATCCAATACTCAATTTATTTGAAACTATCAAGTCCAACCTTGGTATCGATACCTACAGTTGTCTTATTAGTTAACGTACAATATAACATTTTCTCATTTAAGCCATAGTTTCTTATTACTAATTGTATACTTTTAAACTTGCGTGGAAATCGTGTTTGGAGAGATTAATAGATAAAGAAATAAAAGATATTGGAAATACCTAGAACTGTTAACTAGCTTTCAGATTTATATACATAAAGGTAGTATATTAATAATACTTATTTCCTCTTCATATTTATATTTTTGATGAATGAGATTTTCTGTTATTATGTTCAGGGTAAATGTGGTGCTTGTTGGGCGTTTTCAGCTGCTGGAGCATTAGAGGGACAGTTAAAAAATAGGACTGGTACTTTTGTTGAATTATCACCACAACAATTAATTGACTGTAGTCATTCATTTGGTAACCACGGCTGTTTAGGCGGTGATATGAATAATGCATTTCGATATGTTGAAAAAGATGGAATACAATCAGAAGAAAGTTATCCTTATTTGACAAAAGTGAGTATTTTGTTTTTTCGCTCAATTTTTTGTTGTTTTAATATATATCAGAAAAGTAAGTTCACATAACTGTTTGAAAAGAAAAAAAACTATATTTATCGCCAACAAATGGTTTATTTATCGTTTGACTAGTGAGTAGACAAGGTTATTCAATATCACTAACTATAGTTCTGAAAAGAGAATTTAATCCTTAATTATACTACTGTAAATGACTTTTAGTAGTTATAACCAAGTGTAAAAAAGTTACTTCAGAACAAAGCTATGTTAGTTAGTGAATTATGATGTATCAAAAGTCGTTAACAATTACAAGTAATTGAAGTTGCTTCATTAGTTGAGTTTTGTCAATTTTATTAAAGAATACAGTTTAAAATCATGGGAAAAATAGTTCATTTGATCATTTAGAAATAATTAAATACAGCTTATCTTCGGCTAAAATTTTGTATCATCACTACAAAGACTTTGTCATATGATAATATTCTGTAAAAAACAACATAAATAGCTGAATTCAATTTGCGGCGAGACTCTAATTTATGGACGACTTTTGAACGAATCTTAAGTGACCCTGAAAAATATTAGCAAATCAGAAGACAGTTTAAAGTAAGAATATATTATAAAAACCAAAGAATGAAAGTGGATACACTTCTTTGAAAGAGGCTCAGAGATTTTGAAATCGTAGTTCATACAATAGAACAACTCATCCATATGGCTCTATAATAGTCGACCTCTCGAGCCATGATAGGGTCGTAAGAACTTCTTTGGCTTCGACCACATAACTTCAATATTGTCAGTGTGTACTCCAGTTGTAGGGTCCACAAAATGGCGCTTATGGATAACGACATGATGCACATATTCAAGTCTATTCAGGTATAGGTAGGCTCTTTAATCATCCGTATATATTGTGGTACCCGGCTACACGTGTTCCCGTATAATTGGTATTATTGTCGTTTCTGAACCTTTAGGAGTGTCTTTTTTGGGTTGATCTGTCGTAAATTCCAAGTACCTGTGAGGTATATTTATGGAATTGCTACTTACCTAGTCTTTCTTAATACTACGTCCTCTGTTATATTCTCGCTTCTGGACTACTGTTTCGTCTGTTTCAACGATCTTCCCAACTCCTCCAAACGGCTCGTGTAAGCTTGTCATTTTCATTGCATATATATACCTGCAATACTCATACCACTGAACAGATGAACTTTCAGTAACGTCTGAAAATGTTGCAGCCAGTGTTACTGGTGCTTTTGTTATCCAATTTGCAACAGTTATCATGATTTGTCTTAGTCTCAATCGGGATCGAGCGAAGAAAGTTCCTGTTCTAGCAGACTTCTTCCTCCAACATAAATAACATCGAAAGACATTCTCATCACGGTAGTCTGAACACGGTACAGCAGTCATTTGATAACCCCAGTCACAAATAAAGGAACTTCCTAGTAGTCCCATCTGTTGTAGCCGTTCAATAATCACGACTTCTCTAAAATCCGCTGTAAGTGAGCGTCAGATACTGAAATTGGCACCGTGACTTTGAAATCTCTCAAGCGCTTCTGATTGGCTCGTCCATAAATTAGAGTCTCGCCTGTACTTATTGAAGGCCAATACAACAATGAATATACATTGTTTCCCTCGAGATGATCATCGGTGTTCTCTGATATCCATTCTTAGTTTAAGTAAACAGTGGAATAAGTAAATAGGTAAATAAATGAATTGAATGTCAAAAATACACTTTTCAAGATTTTAGACAATGATTAATAAACATTTCTTCGATCTCATTAATGGATTATTACTATACTATTCAATATGTTCTGATACAATTTGCTTCTAAGTACATGAAATAAATGATAAATATGATTTGATCTCATCCAACTATATGCCTAAGTGTTAAAGATTTTTATTTTATATCAAGACTTTCCTATTGGCAATTGTTCCTTCACAAAAATTTGCTATACAGTTTACCACTAGCTTTTGAAAGCTGATAGAAATGCTTTCTCAATACATATACTCTGTCATTTAGTTCATACAGTTAAAATTCATCACCAGATAACAAATTAATCCATAATTCTCGAACTTTAGTGTTGATGTTTTCTGGACAAGTAAAATCGTCAGAAATATAGTCTTATGGTTATTCGATTAACAATATAAAATGTATATAAAAATAATTATACTATTTTTAAATTGTAATAGTATGTTTCTGTCTAGTAACTAACAGGGCAAAACTGAGAGACAAAAGAAAAGAATAACTGTCTAAGGTCAGTAAGCAATAATACCTGGAATTTCGGTTTATATACTACTAGTTATATGTGTATTCTAAGATTGGATTTCCCAATTACTGCAAATTAATGCTCATACAGATAGTCTTATCATATATATCGTCCAGGATATCAAACATATCATAGATACTGAACAAACAGCATCTGACGTTAAAGTAACTGGAAAATTTCACATGTTACAAAAGTCCCAGTCTTTTGTTTTCTCACTCAAAATTTATACACATAAAAATTGATCTTGGTTCATCTGTCAATACCTTGTTGACCAATTTACCGTTAATACTTGTTTTAATTCTGCAATAATATTCATGATAAATGGATAATGAGATGGTATTTGAAGCAAATGATACTGAATTCAAGTATCGGAGTGAACATCTGCTTGAATGCAAGTAAATCTAGCTGATTAGTTTTAAATAGGACAGAATGTGTGTCCTGAATTCCATTACTAGCCACATCCCATTAATGTAAATTGGCTATTTCCAGGTAATCTACACAGGATCCACATAAACCAAAAACGAGAATGATCAGAGTATCAACAATGGGATAATCTAAACATTCTTGATACTCTTTGGCATCTTTTATTTAGTTACAGTAATAACTTGATAGTTCAATTAATTCAAGTTTTCATTTCTAATTTTCATTAGTTACTTTAGTTAGTCATACTAATCTCATATTTATTTTATTAAAACTTCTGATCATTATCATTTAATTTATTCAAGTGATCACCAAGATCTAATATCATCATCGTTTGATGTAAAATTAAGCAGTAATCTAAGTAACTAAAATTTAAATAGTTCTTATATCTACTCTGTTAATCTAGTGCAAATTTCTTTTGGAAAATAATCGAAATCAAACTTACCAAAGATAAATATGATCAGAAATAATTATATAATAAACAATTATCTAATCATATTTAAATAGTGCCTCCTTGAATATTTGGGTTACCTGTTCCTACCATCTGGATATTTCAACAAGTTAGCTGTTTTCTTGTTTGTTTCAACCCACCATTATGTCTGTTAGTCTCATAACCTATTTACGTGTGTTTATGAAAAATTTACAATATTTCGCTGTACAAGTTACAAAACGGCCCAATTAGATACATCGCAGTTTCTGGCAATATGCAACAAAAAGAATACACATTATTCAGATGTCGATTCCTGAACTGCTAGTATCTAACTGGCGATCACTCAGTATTTATTGCAAGGGTCGATCAAGAAAGAAGAAAAGGAAACTTAATGAAATACTTTGTGCTGAGAATTCTATATTGTACCAAAAATATAATATTGTATAAAGCCATTAATAATAATAAGTATATCGTGAGAATGAATCATTTAATGTTAAATATGTTCATAATAAATGTGTTTAAATGTTATCAAAACCCAACGAAAAAGATGAAACATTTGTCTACATCTAGTATTAGATAAATAATTCCGTTTATGATAAAACTGAAAACATATCTACTTCAAAGTAAGCTAGTCAATGTATGTCTTATTAGATAAATGGGTAAGATTTATTTTTGTTTTAATGTTAAACTAAAGCAACTAGAAATAAATTCAGACATAGCAATCAATGAAATAGATTACAATTACATTGTTGCTAACATCAATATTATGGTAGTACTAACAGGAATGAGTGTTCAAGGTAATGTTGTGTTTTTTTTTAAAAATTCAGAAATCAATTGTTAGAAGGATTTATTTAACTAAACTCCATCTCATTTGTTGATATTTTTAGGTTTATGATTATATGTAGAGCTTTAATTAAGGCAATATCGAGGCATACGCACAGTATGCACATATCCCAATAACAGACTGATCAACTGCAGTCTTAAACCTCAATGGGAAGATACAAGCCAAATAATACCAAGTGAACTTAACTTCACCTCATTGCACAAGCAAGTGGCTATCAGGACTCAGTAGTTGAGTGGATAACGCGATGGCGTTTGAAGTGAATGGAACTGGGTTTGAGTTCCAGAGTGAACATCAACTCTGAGATGCAGGTACATCCAGCTGACGAGTCCCTAATAGGACGAAACGCGCGTCCTGGATTCCACTGCTAGCCACTATCCATTATTGCTTACAAAAAGCTTGTGAATTAAGGCAATATCGCGGCATATGCACAGTATGTATATATGCCTATAACAGACTGATCAATTGCAGTCTTAAACCTCAATGGGAAGATACAAGCTAAACAATACCAAGTGAATGTAGAGTTTTAGTTGTTAATTTTTCTTCATATGAGACAAACTTTTCAGAAGAATTTTATTTCTATAACAAAATACTTGATGTCCTGTTTCTGTTGACTGTAATATTACCGTTAATCTGTCGTCAAGTAATCCAAGGTATTCCGAGGATCTAGGAACATATCTCAAACAGTAATTGTGTCCCTTCACCCTGATATTCATTTGATTATATGCTTTGGTATTAAATAAGGGAATTTATTTTTCGGAATCACATTTCCGGTATTTACCACCGTAAATCTAATGTTGTTATTGGTATGAAAATCAACCTCTATATCATATCTATTTTTAATCATTATAATTTTCTCTGTTGTTTGTTAACGTTAAGATCGAAATTGAACTCTCGGGTATACATCTCCATTTCATTTTGCTTTCACTTATAGTTACGTTTTTTACAAACACTTTAAATTCATTGTTTACTCTGAATACAGATATGACCAAGTTTAATTTAACCTGTTTGTCGTTTGTCTCCGTGAAAAGCTGGTGATATATGTTTATCAGATTTTAAGCATGTATGATCTACTTAGATAGATCATGCATTTACTTGAAATCTATTTATTTCTTTAATCCTTTCAATTTTTGATAGACACTAGTTTGTATATCAACAATCAAGAAACACCAGTTAGTAGTTAACAGCTTCCATCACTTTAATAAACTTGATACTATTGTAAATGGTGTTTATCAGATCAAATGTCATTAGTATATCTTAACTGAATTATTGTCGTTATTAATATGATAACCTTGTTATTCGTGTTACGTAATGACTACTATCACTTTCATTTTCACAACACAAGGAGTTACACGGTGTTCCAGTTGCTCGAGCTCCCCCTCACCGTAAGGAAAATACATGTTGAGTGGTTTTGTCCCTATGACCACCGTACATTATATCGGAGATCACGCAGAGAAGCATCTCTATCCGGGTACCTTGAGAACCAACCAGATCCCTCCGAACCAGACCACTGCCCACATTCCAATCGTCAACGGCAGCAAAGAGGGAGAGTTTAGCCATTACCAGGATCCGGCATAGGTAGCCGAGCCATGCACTAGCCGTTTGTCTTAGCAGCCGACAGCCTATAGTCCCCGCCATCTTTGTGAAACCAGCTGAATCGTTCGAGAATCCAAATTAAGCTAGAGGATCGATCTAGCCACAAGAGAGGACTCTAGAACGCACATTTTACCATGAGGCCAACTTCACGTACCCAGCCTGACGGGGTGGCCACCATACTCCATAAACCACAACAGACCAATAAGCCAATGCAGGTGAGTAGAAGTCAAATATAGCCGAAAGCGCACATATACATTTCTACGGCAAGCACCACCCGGATACATAACAGCTTAAGACCCTTTTTGTTACAGGGCATCGACGACATTACAAGGGGACCACGTGCCTGGCAAGAACCACGATGAGGTAGCCACCACAGCCACTGTCATCCTCTAAAGAACTACGTACTGTAAATCAGTTGTCCAAAGTTGTAATAAGTGCACATATCACTCTTGAGGATCTAGGGTTCAAGGTATGTATAAACTCTAGAATTCGTCGTTCATAAGGGTCCGCCCCGAAAAACCTTAGATGACGAGGTATTTAGCTACCTTAAGAGAGTCATAGTTACTCATCTAGTTGATAATTTATGAATTAATCTTTTTTCTTCATTCTACTCATTACGGAACTCTTACCTGATTGGTGGGGCCGTACTACGTAAAACTAAGTTCGAAAATTTATTTTACACATCATATTTCCTTTGTACTATTCTATATAGATGTGCTCCAGCAAGAGTAGTCAATTTAAATTTATTTCTAAATTTTACAATTCAGTATAATAATACAAATTAAGAATTTTTTTTAGTTTTGCGTAACTCAGTATGTAAATAATGTTTACATTTTATTCTAAGCAAATCAATGATAAAATGAAATACAATATATATTTTGGTGGATTTTTGCTCTCTGAGCTGGACTCCATCAAAATAATCCACCCGAGTTATAAATCTTCTCCACCATCTCGATATACTATATATTTTCATTTATTACTTTAATTATTATTATTATTATAAATAAAAATAATATATTTATAATATCCCAATGAGTAGAAAATTGGATTTTTCTGACGTTTCGTGACTTAGTATAAGCCACTTCTTCAGAAAATACTCTTGTTGTTCCGTTGTACTATTTAAACTTGGATTAATTTAATTTGGTTATTTATTCTCTGAAGAAGTGACTTACACTAAGCCACGAAACGTCAGAAAAATCCAATTTTCTACTCATTGGGATATTACAAATATATTATTTTTATTTATAACAATCAACCCAATGCTCAATTTATTCGAAATTATCAAATCAAACCTTGGTAATGACACCCATTATTATTATTGTTAAACATACTACTTATAACATCAAATTCTAAAATCAGAGTTCTACTAGTATTTATTAAAACTCATATATCCAGATTAAACAACTACCATCTAGTATAACCATATTTATGATTTCATTTTGTAATGTTTTTTTTCTTGGTAGTAAATAGGTAATAAATAGGTCACGCCTATATTAAAACAAAACATGTACTGAATAGGATATAATCTTAACAAATCTATTTTCACGTTAACAATTCTAAAAATAGCTTATTTCAAAGTACTTTGTTTAATAGGCAATGTAAGCTTTTAAAATCTCTTAATGAGGGCAATGTTTTACCTTTATTTTTTTGTTGTTGAAATAAGTGTACAGTTTTAATTCATTTTTTGTATTGTTTGCTTGATGTTAAGAACTGAAATTGATCAGACTATTATTGGCATATGTGCACCTTGTGCGGATTACCTTGATATTGCTTTAAGTCACAAGCATTATAAGCAAAGATGGATGTTGGCTAACAGTGGAATCTAGGACTCACGTTTCGTCTTATTTGGGATTCGTCAGCTTGAAGTACTTCTGTACGGGCAGATGTTCACTTCGACACTCGAATCCAGTATCATTCGCTTCAAATGCTATCGCGTTATCCACTTAACTACTGAGTCTATAAAGCCAGTAGCATTTGCGGTGGGGTGAAGCGAACGATACTGGGTTTTAGTGTCAGACTGAACATCGGCCTTAGGATAGAGATACATCCGGCTGAAGAGTCCCAAACAGGATAAAGCATGTGTCTTGGACCCCATTGCTAGATACCATCCATCCCTGCTTAAAAGCAATGGCCATCTCTCCGATATAAATTTTGGTTAGTCGACAGTATACTGAGACACATTCAACTCACTTGCCCGAGTTGTAACTAATATTCGTCCAGATGACTTTAGCATATCAGTATAACATCAAGTAAATAACAACTTAAAGACCATTATCTACCTTAAAAGTCTCACCGACCAAAATACTTTGAAGTGCCTTGACACACCCATCATATATATATAGCCCTTCAAAGGCTATTCTCGACATTGATCCAAAAAGTGAAATTACAAGTAATACTGAAGAATTCCCATGAACATTGCATGATTTAACAATATGCCGAGATTAAGATGAAAAGTTAGTTTGCTATCTGTTACATATCTTATTTTCAATTTTATACAACAACTACGATTGTATCAGTTTGGCAACGCTCTCCATTATAAGCCTTTGACTCTGCATTAACTACTGTAAAATCATCGTAATTCTATGTTTGGAACTATTTCCTACCATGTCACTTTATCTAAATTGGCTTTTTACTCACACAATATAAGCATAACAATATTATTCTACTGAGCGATACATTTAAGTAATGGATTTATCTTTTTCAAGTAGGTTTATAGAAAAATAATCAGTTAAATTAGATTCCATTATAAAATAAATGTTGGGAAACGTCGTGAATTGTAATGAACCATATCAGAAATATGAAATTATTTTCTATCAGCTATTATTAATACGAAATGGAACTGGGTTTAATATTCTTAGCAAATAAACTTTCTTTTACTGATAAATTTTTGACGTTTAATTTAAACTTTAAAGCTTCAGTGATAAATTTCAATTCCAGAAGAAGAAGTCGTATTCAGGTTCTAATAGCGTCTTAAACTGTACTACCATCGACTACGAAATGTAGAACAGTGTTTTTGCCTCATTGAATTTAGTCATTCAAGGCATTTGACTTGAGTGAATTTCTGGTAGAGGTCAGACACTATATTTTGAAGTACTTTCGAAAGTGAATCGTTTACACTTCAACCAACCAGATATATATATATATATTTCGTGTGGTGCTTCAGTGTTTGTGTATTTCACCTCTTAAATATAAATCGGTTACAAGGTTGTGCAAAACTGACCAGATTTTATGTCTTTAGCTGATGAGTATTAAAATCATTCCTGTTACGCAGAGCCTACACATATCATTAAAGCGCTTAAGTTTCGTGTAAGTCTAAATGCTTTGTTTCAATTTACCGTGGAAAATCATCAAATACTTGTTCGGAATTCAACTTTAATCTTTTATACAGAAACTCATTTTCCCAACCAAGTAAGTAGTTTATTAAATGGACAACTGTTGGTTAGCGAAGCACAACATAACAAAATGATCATTTAATCTAACTAGATAAACAAGTCTCCACCACTTAAATACAATTACATTCCCTTGCATCAGTATATTCGTCTTCACTTCTCATCTAGCCAAGTCTTATACTTTACCGAAGTATAAACATATGATTTATCAAGCAACTACCTTTCTTTATGTAAGTGTATTATTATTATTTGAACACAGAAATATTGGTACAAGAGGCACCAAATATATATGCACCACATAAAACAATGGGAATTTGATGAGGAGAAGGAAAAAAGGGGAGGAGCGTAAAAAAAGAACAATGACGAACAGAATAAGGTAAGGTAGCGTAATAATAATAATAATAAAATAATAATAATAATAATAATAATAATAATAATAATGGGGGAAACGAAAAGGTACAACCAAAAGAAATCTTTCAGTTAAGGAAGAAGCAACCACCCTTTATGAAGAAAGTAAAAGGTTACAGCAGGATCGCCACTGGCTTCTATTCTGAGCCATATCTGATAACGTCTCTAGCCACTGTGTTGCACCTTCTCTCGGACCCCAACCAGGGAGTCGTGAAGGACCAACACAAGCCAGCCCTTTGTAGATCTCTTTCATACCACGACACCATGTCATACACTGACCACCTCTCCGCTTTTTCCAACCAGTCCCAGAGTCGGCAAATAATGCACGACGTGGAATTCTCTGGGACGACATTTGTAAGTGACAGTTTGGCATACTGCTATACAGATTTATAAAACTAATAAATGGTTATTACGAATATTGATCAATATTTGAATGAATAGTTTGACAAAAAAGTACATAATTTTGACTAATACACAGTTATTATGGTAATTTTTGATTATGAAAAATCATTTCACTGCTCATTTGGTTGGTTTGTATTTGAAGATCCCGTAAATGCATATCATAAACATCTTATACGAAATGAATTTAAAATAAATATATAATGTTGTTTTGTTATTCACATTTTAGGAAGGTAAATGTCAACATATTAAATCATCATCATTAACCTACTCTAAATCAATTATAGAGATTAAACTCAAAGATGAAGGACAGTTGAAATATGTTCTATATGAACATGGACCAGTTTCAGCTGGCATAAACGTAGAGCAACAATTTATGAGATACAAGTAAGTCTTTGCAGGCTATTTTTATATGGCTAAATAGAATGAGAAAAGATGTCAGTAAATATTGGATGAATCTAAGCAACTCATACAAACAGTCAATGGATAATCATTAAATTAAAATTATCCATGTTGTTTTATCTTTAATGAAAAAATTAAATTCGTAAAATGTTTTTGAACGATAAGAAGGCAAGGCGTTTTATAGACAAATTGACTAATGACATGTGATGATACTTCAGAACACTAGGTATTATCATGTGAAGACTGAGACAATAGTGACTAACCATTATAATCTACATGACGGTATATTCGAAGCAATTAAGGTTTAGTGACTTGAAATTACTTATCTTGGAAGTCTGATCAGCCCAAATGCGTTAGTCTCTGATGAAATTTCTGCATGGATTCAAAAAGCTTGTTTGGCTTTTGCTAATTTATTTCACCTATGGCGAAGGAGAGATATCCGTCTGTCAATTAGGGGACGAGTATGCTGTACGGCAGTTCGTTCTGTTCTACTTTACGACTGCGATACGCGATCATTAAAAGTAAGAGATACTCGTAGACTACTAGTATTCGATCACAGATGTCTTAGAAATATTGCTCGCATCTGATGGGATCACCGGGTAAGTAATAATGAGGTTAGACGCAGAATATTAGAGAATCATGGTAAATCACTTGGTGAGGTTGTGAATCTTCATCGACTGAGATGGTTGAGCTACGTGTTACGTATGCCTGAAGACCGATTACCACGACGCGCAAGGCTGACTAGTGATGGAGATAGTTAGAAGAAAGTTAGGGGCGACCTAACCAAAACGTGACATCAGTGCTTGAAGTCACTAACTTCTGGTTTTCGCCATGTTGGTAGATGTAGACTACTTGGTTGGGGTCCATGTGACTATCGTAATCAATGGTTGGAGACTCTAGGTAACATGAGTCAGAATATGTCCTAAACGTGTCGGTGTATACACTCTTTGTCTTCCCTTAAACCGTGAGATTAAAATTACTTTATACATTTCTTTCTACGAACTAATTATTTCTTCCCGTACTATATCCTTATACACAACCTTTCTCTTATACATTACTACCATTGAATTAACTGCTTCGATGAATCCGGTGTTCGTCTTACTGTACTAATGAGGTGTGACAACGTGAACCGATACATGTATGTGCCTGGTTCTACGTTGTAAATGATTGACTGAGTAAGTGACCTCAGCATCAAATGAGAGTGTCAGTAAGCTATAGTAGCAACTTCAACAGCAATTTGCAGTAATGTATAATCAATGTACAATAACCTCACAGTTTCCAACGTAAGTATTAAAACAGTTTATTGACTTAATTTGATGAGAAGAATCTTTCCGAAAACCTACACATAAGGAAAAGAGGAAATTCTCAACATAACTTCAACTTACTATAAAGTATGTTACAGTTAAGAAGTTATTAAATATTCTCATCGAACCGACTATTGTTTTCTAAGAAAAAAATGATTCTATAGTGGCCTGAAGATAATAGAAAATCATAAGTTTAAAATGGTTAATACATGAGAAATATGGGAGTTATTTTATATGTAGTTAATTTAGAAAAAACCTAAAACATATTCCAATGTAAGAAAAATTATGCATTAGGACCATAGTAGAATAAGGGTATAAACATTTTGCACATGAACATAGAGTTTATGCTTGATTTGATAAAATACAAAGTAAACTGCTGCAGATGTGCCTACGTCGAATTATTTTAAGCTTTTGTGATGCATGCTACTTATATCGATAGATATAAGTAGTATGTAACACTAATGCGAAGTGGAAAACCTGGAAGCAGAAGGTTAAGATAATTGAGTTTAAGAAAACATAAAGGGAAATATAAACGAATTATGAACTGGAAGAACCATATGGAATATGAAGGACATATGATGGAAGTTTGCAGATGAAATATTCAGTGTGTGGATATCATATTTTACCAAGAGACTCTGTTATTTCCCTAATTCGGACAATATAAGCATAACTATCTTCATTAAATACACTGAGAGCGCATGATCAATTCGAGTGAGAAAGATATGATTGTTTGTTTAAAAATGATATTATCATCGTCATGTCGACCCATAATGCGTTACTGCTCTACTTCCTTGAAAAATAAACTGAAAATTACAATTAATATATTACTTTGGGAATCTTAGGTAATTGAAAAAGGAAACATAGTCGAGTTTTTAAATTTAATGTTCAGCAGGACTTTGAGAAATTATTTTTTATTAACGTCTATTAAGGAAGTAATTTTTATCTCTTTTTAGGAACGGCATATATCAATCCCAGTCTTGTTCGTCTACAGAAGTTAATCATGCAGTTCTGATTGTTGGATATGGAGAAGAAAACGGTGTACAATACTGGATTATTAAAAATAGTTGGGGGACATCATGGGGAGAAGATGGTTATGTAAGAATACGTCGTAATTATAATAACATGTGTGGCGTAGCAACTATGGCAAGTGTACCGAAGCTATAGATACACCTGTTAAATTATCTAAATAAACAGTAAGGTGTTGAGTTGATTTTTTGTTTAATACCGGAAAATTTGTTGCTTGCGTTTATCGGAATACAATAATCTACAATCACGAAAACTACTAATACTACAAGGTTCAAAATATTCACTATTATAAGAACATTGTTTTATGATAATTACGGTACATCATCTAATAATATGCCATATTTGTGACAGTAACCTTGCTCCCATTCCCAAATTTCAAAATATCTTTCAAATACCTGAAAACCAGGCACTTTTATTACTACTTTTACAGTTCCCGTGACTGCATATTTTCCATTCAGTTTTTATCATCTTTGATGAAGTTTTTAATTTACTTGAAAGGCCTATTACCTTCAGCGCACTGTTATCAAAAACAGCACTAAACATTTCATGAAATTCCTGAGCATTTCTTTTCAAGTTTCACCAGAATTTTATTGTTGATTGAATAGTTAGAAATCATGACTTCTGGAAAATTCCAAGTACTTTGATCGGAAAAAAGACATAAATGTATTGCTACAAATTAGTATTTTAAATAAGATAATAGTTATATAAAAGAGCTATATAAAGAGTTATTTTATGACCGGAGTTCTCGTATGTATTGGGCAGAATAGTATATACAATTTTTAAGATTCTATGCATAAGAATAATCATTAACTGTTTTCAATTTATCATATCTTAAATGAAAAACAAGTGAATTATTGTCGTTAGTTTTCATTGATATTGTGTTATCTGACTACTGATAATCCTTTCACCCTTCCTAAACTAATTTTATAGATACTTATTTCCTGTAATTATGTTCGTATCATTTTATTCGCATTTGATGGTACATTTTCATAGCACACTCATAATTAATATTCACAAAAAAAGGAAATATAATTATTCGTGGAGTAAATTAGGAATCTGGATCAGATAGAAAAGTATATTAATAAAACTCTGCCAATTAATATTATTCAAAAAGTTGAATTCACGAGTCCATCTAAGAGAGACCACCAGTGATAACTTGGAAGCACTAGGTGGCCGTTCTGTCCGAGCACAGGACTCCTTAAAGGTCCCTACCCACGACTCCGCATACGGGGTTCGAACCCAGGACCTTAGGTGTCACATGCGAACACTTAACCTCTAAACCACTGAGTCGGCATCGAACGGTGCTGATGTCTAACTTCAGTCAATCTCCACAAATCCCTATACTGATAACAATCATGTGCTTACTAGTGACCAGCTTCAAGATGGATTTCCCGGAGTTCTAGCGAGAAGCCGTAACCAGTGGGATCAAATTCGTGTCGGGTGTGAGACGGTTATCCACCTCAGACAATGGATGAAAGGTTACGCGAGATCATGGATTGACTGAAGTCAGACAGTGATACCGTTGGATGCCGGCTCAGGGGTCTTAATGTTAAGCGTTCTCATGTGAGACCGAAGGTCCTTGGTTTGAGCCCTGTGTATGGAGTCGTGGGTGTGCACTTCTGAGGAGTCCCAACGGTTAAAATACTACAATTCCCACAAATCCTCACAGTGATTACTTAAAAACACTTCTTCATGTAATTGAACTGAATAAACTCAAGTTTAGAACCTGTTTACTTCACACAAGTCGATGTTAAAAGTTTAAAAAAAATTTGTATGCTGGAACAAAAACATTGTTATGTGAACCAATAAGAAATAACTTAAACGGAAATCGAATAAACTGCTTTGTCACTGATATTTTATTGGTGTAGGAATTAGTTGCAAATTTTTGACATTTGTATTCCTTAGTTCAAAAACTTTGGTTTAGTAGGAAACTAGGAGGGTGGGTTGCCTCATCTAATAAATATAACACTTTCAAAGGCTATCAAAAAGATTACTATGCTTCATGATTGTGTTTCATGTGGACAGTCAGATTGTGTGCAACCAGTGTGCAAACTTTTACATTTACTCCTACGTTGACAGGAGGCTGTTGATGATTAGCTGAGACTTAGAACCATAAATAGTAATTTTACACTGTGTTCACTTTAGAAAGGGCGTTAATGATAGCAGTTCATGTGGATGGGATTAAAATTACCTTTAAATGATCAGAAGACGACGAAATTTCCATCAATTTTTCTCTTTGTGATTGGCTTAGTGTCATAGTCCAGAGACTGATAATATAACGCTTCTGGCCAGGAAATGATTGCATTTTATGAATTCTCAGATGAAGAGTACCAAAGTGGCAGACTCGAATTCTGAGTAAACACGACCTGAAAAACTCTCAACTAATGTCATCGCCTAACAGGCTCCACTAAGTCTCCGGAAACAGTAAACTTGCGTTGGTATTGGTTCTCAATTGCAAAACCTTTGGAACCGAATATACATGTGAAGTTTAGAAGTATTCGAATCAATGTACTAACCAGAAGTTCCTGAAACAGTTCAATTTAAGCCAGACATAACTTACTTCATTGCTCCTATTAGCCCTCGTTGACGAGCATAGGTCACCCACCAGTATTCTCCATCCAAATCTGTACTCCACTCTCCTTTCCAATTGTTTCTAGTTGTTATTCATCCTTTTGATGTCAGCTTCGGATTCCCGGTGCAGTGTGTTCTTTTGTCTCCCTTATTTCTCTTTGGTTTCAGGATTCTAAGTGAATGCTTGCCTCGTGATGTAGTTTGATGACTTCCGAAAGGTATATCCTACCCATCTCCATCACCTTTTTCTAATTTCCTCCTCATCTGGAAGCTGGTTTGTTCTCTCCCATAGTAAGCTATTGCTGATAGTATCCAGTCAATAGAAATTGATTATCTTGCATAGACAGTTGCTTATAAATACTTATACTTTTTTATGATGGTTGTGGTAGTTCTCCATGTAGGACTCTCTTGACGTCCGTGTTGAAGACCGTGCCTTTGATGTTGGCTGACAGTCATTTTGAGTTCCACATGTTCTTCAACTGTAGGAATGCTGCCATTACTTTGACAATCATTACCTTGACATCCGCAGTAAATCCACCTTGTTCATCGATGATGCTCACCAGGTATGTGAAAGATTCCACCTCTTCCACAGTTTCTCCGTCAAGTATGATTTGATCAACGTCCTCTGTGTTTTGTTTCTAGATCTTGATTTTCCCCTTTTTTATGTCCGGCTTAGTGATGCAGGGGCTTTTACCAAACTGGTTGTCATGACCTGTATTTGTTTGTGTGTATAGGATTGAAGGCTAAGTGATTTGCGAAGTCAAAATCGTCTAGTTCCATCCAAGCTATCCATTGCATTTCATGCTTTCACTGAAATGTGGAAGTTTCCATTAACCAATAAATCACCAGAAGAAAAAGAAAGGGAGAGAGTAAGCAGCCTTATCTGATACTGTAGTGAACAGAACACGGGTGGGGACAACCGAATTGTATTTAGCATAAAATTACAGAGTTACTTGGTAAAATAGAAAAACCATATAGCAAATCGTTAATTTGCAAATTGCATTGTGTTCCCGCCCTTCCTTTATTGATCTTTCCCCATCTTCTGCTGCCAGACAGTACGTTTTTAACTCGCGTCACATACTACTTATATCAATATAAGTAGCACACACCACAATACCAGTCTTTACTTAGGATGAATTTGTCAGCTGTCCTCCATGAACGTCCTTGCAGTATGAATTCCAAAGGACGTTAACTATTTTCTCTACTATTCACACTAAAGTTGGAGGTCCCATAATATTCTCCTATTCACTCTTTCAAACTCTTCCTTCTAGTCAGGGAAGTTGATGTACAATGACGAATTCCAATAAGTGATTATTCAACAATGATCCGTAGTGTCGCCATTTGGGCTGTGCACAACCGGTCCTTAGGAAATCCGGTCTTCTGATCTGTAAGCTTGACATCTACTTAATCTTTCATCCGGTTTAGTAACACTGCTGAAGATGTCTCCTGGCACTGAGAATAGTGTGATGCCTCTGTAGTCTTCACGTTTGCTCAGATATCCTTTCTTTGGTATTTTGATTAGGCATCCTTCTTTCCAATCTGTTGATGGCACTTGCCCATGCTCCCAAATCTTCCTGAATAGAATGTGGAGCATCTTTGCAGTGGCTCGTATGCTTGACTTTAGTGCTCCAGATAGTATATTGTAATTTGCTACTACTTTCACATTCATGATTTGTCTGATGACCTTGGCAATTTCTTCAATCGCCGGTGGAGTGGCACCTATAGGTATTTCCGCGTGTACTGCATCGATGTCCGGTGGTTTCAGTGGGACTGATATGCTCAACTTCTATGTTCCTGAATTTCAGTGACTGACTTGCCCTTATTGTCCTTGACCGGCCTTGATAGGATGTTGTCAATTGCTGTCTTCTTTTTTTATTGAATCTTGTCCAGGGTTTTGATATGGATCCATTCCTTATGATGATGGTTCTTGAGGCCCAGAACCTCCTGACACGTTGAAACTAGTGCATCCTTGATTCTTTGCCAATTGACCTCTACAGAACTTTCTTTTTCTTTCAGTAGATCTTGTAAGGCTTGGAACCTGTTGTTCAGACGTACCTTAAATTCGTTGATCCTGTCAGTATCTCGAAGGAAGAATGTATTGAAACTTTGTAGTGCTGTTTGTCCAGTGTTTCTTTAGCTTTAGTTTCATCTTGACAACAACCGGGTGGTGATCTACAGCTATGTCAGCCCCTTTCTTTGTTCTCACACCTTACATTGACTTTCCGAATTGGTGAGTGATGCAAATATGATCGATATAGCTGTGTGAACGTTTTGTATTTGGAATTCATAATCAACTGGCAATCAAGTACAAAGGAATCATGGAGAGACTTCAATGTATGGACAAAATAATCATGTACAAGATAACGGCTCTCAAATTTTGGCGCGAAATTCAATAATCCATTTGGCATTATAGCTGATGCCAGTTCGTGATGAAAACCCTAAATCTAATCCCTAACTTTAATCGCCGACTGATAAACATAATTATAACTCCCTACACAGGTTTATAACCCTAATTTAGCCCTAGATGTTAGGTGGGCACTCCCAAGAACAGTTTAGCGTCTCTCAAA